TATATATAATAGTTTCTCCGAATTGTTTATATGTTCGTATATGTTTTCATGAAACTTAACACAGAAATTGTTCGGGATATTGAGTAAATAGAGTAGAAAAAGTATGAAATAGTAGCTAAATGCATGGGAAGGTAAGAAAAAGAAATTTAAAAAACATGAACTGCACAAAATAGTAATGTTAAGTTAGCTAAAAAATACTCCTTCCCTCCCACAAAATTCTTCTCACTTATCACTTTGAGGTGTCTCAAAAACTTTTTTTTTCCTTTTTGAAAAATTTTGTGACTAAGGATGTTTTTACTTGGACTGTAATTTGTCCCAGACCAGACCAGACCAGACCAGTCCAGACCAGACCAGACCAGTTCAGACCAGACCAGACCAGACTTGGATAGTTATAAAAATACAAAAAAAACAGACCTTACCAGACCAGACCAGACCAGTTCAGACCAGACCACACCAGATCAGACCAGACCAGACCAGACCAGACCAGCAAATTACAGTCCAAGTAAAAACATCCTAACTTTCATCTACTTTTTCCTTACTTGACCACAATCATATATTTCCTTTTTATTCACACTTTCTTAATAAGTGTGTCAAGTCAAATTGGGAAGTACTTTTTGGTAGGGCTGGGACCGGTTCGGTTCTTACTCAAAATGAGTGGAACCGTTATAAAAGTTTTAACTAATGAAATCAGTTCAGTTCCTATATAAAAAATCAAGAACCGTTATGGAACCAAACCGGTAGTAAACGGTTCGGTTCTTCCTTTTACCGGTTCCTAGAATAATTTTTTCTCGTCTAAGAATTAACGCATAATTTACTTTCTACAAACAACATAAACAAGTCGAAAATTCAAAACATGAGTATTAAAATTTTATTTGAAGCTCTAATCACTTCAAACATCAAATCTCAAACTTAACTAATGAACTTTGAACACTTAATAGAACAAAAGTGATTTAAATTTTCATGTAATAAATGAAACATTAAAAATCGTTGTAGTGTCGGAGCGATGAAGGTTACTCGTCATCATAGTAGCAAGAATAGGACGCCTACTTCAAGTCTTTCAAAACGTAAAAAAAGACATTGAGTTTGCATGTATAGATATAAAAAAACATTATTACATTCTATTGATTCAAAATAAATCTAACAATTAGAAATATCATGAAAATAGTAAAGTAAAATATGTACAATCAACTACAAGTTATTTGGGTTATTTTATATTTATAAAATTTATGTGATGGAACAAAACTTGATTTGTAGAAAGGAGTTTAATGTATTATATCAACCTCATGTACAATATTTATTACTTCTTTTCCGTTGATTAAATTAGAATTGCTAGTTAAATATCTTATATTGTTTTATTATTGTTGTTGTTGTGGTGGTTATTATTGCTATTATTATCATTATTATTGTTACTACTACTACTAATATTATTTTATTTTTTATTTTTTTAATAACGGTTTCTTAACGGTTCTATGCACATATTTTTTATAGGAACCGGGAACCGAACCGTTATAACTCGCTTCGGTTCGGTACCTACAAATGAGGCATTAATTGTTAACGGTTCGGTTCCTAAATGTTGTTAACGGTTCGGTTCCAATCGGTTCTACAGTTCCTGGTTCCAAAATCCAACCCCTACTTTTTGGGATTGAATTGAAGGATTAATATTTTCTTCATCTCACTATACATAATTAAGTTTGTCACACAATCACACATGTGTAATAAGACATCAAATCATGTGTATTGAAATTTGCATATAAGAGAATGAAGTAGTATTAACTTCAAAGTTATTACTTTTGAATGAAATTGACATAATTGTCGGGATCAAAATAAGATGATAATGTAAAATGTTTGAGCTTTTAAAAAGTGGGACAATTTTCTCATGTTTTTTAAAAAGTGGCACATTAACTCAAAACAGTGACAATTCAATTAGTAAAACTCTAAGCCCCATGTTTGGTAATCAAGATTAGTTGTTAGCGGCTTTAATCAACGGCTTGTAGTAGTTGTTTTGACTTTGTATTAGTTGTTTATGATCGTTTGGTAAAATTAGTTATTTAAGAAAATACATTAAAACGTCATTCCGTCTTTCTGCATCTCATCGCTAGAAAGATAATTATCAAGGGTGTGTATTAATTAGAAGACGCAAACCCCAGCCTCCGTCTCCCGAATATGTTAAGATCATCTCCAATGGAGTCAGGGCTTCGGCCGCTTGGAGTTTTTTTCCGTCTTCGATTTTAATCGAAGGACAGCCGCTTTTTCCGTCTTCGATTTTAATCGAAGGACGGCCGCTATTTCCGTCTTCGATTTTAATCGAAGGACGGCTGTTGTTGTTTGTGCTTCATACTCGAAGGGCGGATTTGCTGTCATGGCTCGAGGAGATCGGCGTTGTGGTCAAGATTCGAGGATGATGTATTGCTGTCGTCGTTGGAGAAGATCGGCGCCGCCTATCCGTTTACTCTGGTTGCATGAAGCAGAGATGAGTTTGGTTATGCAGGGACGGAGGATTGATGCATGGCCTTTGGCAGACAAAGATCACGGAGTATCAATTAGCATGGTACCAGTGGTAAGACCTCCTCCTGAACCACCACCATGGGATGTACGAGGTGCTAGAGTTCGTGAACGCTTTTCTTGTAGTTTTTATCTGTTTGTTATTTGTTTTCTTGTGTCCACTTTTGTTGTTAGTTTTGACAGTTTGTTTGAGCTTTTTGCCTCTCTTTATGTCATTGGGTATGGTTGGATCTATGGGAATAGGTTTGGCTGTGTCAAGCCCACTACATGGTTAGCGATTCGTGTTGCTCTCTCAGGGGTGACCGTCTCAAAGTCTCACCATAGGGTTACTGTCGTAGTTGTTGAAGTTTCAGTTGGTGTCAGTTTTATTTTCCTTTTGTTTGATGTAATGATCCTGAATCTTTTGATATGAATAGAGGCCCGTTTGATGATCAAAAAAAAAAAAAAAAGAAAGAAAATACATTAAAACATTGGATAAAAATAAGGTCATAGGCCTTTTTCATGAATATTACTTCCTCTGTCCCCCTAATATTGCTACGGAAAAGAGTGATGTTGTTTTAAAGAAAAAGTAGAATCATGTGGTGAATAATGAATTTATAAAGTGGGAATAAAGTAAGAATGAATTAGAGTCACACAAATCTTACCAAACATGGTATGAAACTAATAGGATACATCCAAAAATGAAAAAGTGGGACAATTTTAGCAAGACGAAGGAAGTACTAATTCAATTCAAAAAACAAAAATATGACTTCCTTTAAATTTTCCAAAAAATTATAGTGACATATTCAATGACTTGTTCTAAGTGTCTCATTATCAACAGTGACTTGTCAAATACGTACACTACATCGACTCTTGTCCAATTAATCGTACACACTGACTAGTCAAATTTTTATTCAAGAATATAACTCGTCACATTTTTGTCTGGGCAAATTCTATTTGTAATATGCATGTCGATCATATTTCCTAAAAATAATAACAGTATGAATTAAAATAATTTAACTACCCATAATTATAATATATTTATTTTTGTTCCATAAAACTAAATTTTTGTTTGAAATTACAATTTTACTCTTTTAAACCCTCGTCAACTCTTTAATTCAGAATAAAGGTCTAAGAAATATAGCTTCCGGATTATTACTCTACTGCGTAAAAGACTGAGAGGCCCTTTTTAAGAGGCATTCAATCAGAGATGGGGCATGTCATGAAGCTGCCAAATGAGCAAACCAATTTGAAAGGGAAAAGGGTACTATAAGCGCTCGAACTTACATAAAAATGTCAAATAAGCTCTTATATTGGAGACTCTGTCCGGCCGTCGTCATTTTGGGCGATTCCCGATGGAATTTTTTGATGAAATTTTTTGAGCATCTTATTCATTAAGTCTAGTTTACGCATACCAAATTTCAGATAACAATTCAATCGGGAAGGCATTCAAATGAATTCTTGAAGATAACTGGAATTCAATTGAGGTTTGGACATGAAACTGATGACAATTGATTATCCTCACAAAAAAAACATTTAAAAGCAGCTTTTGATTCTGTTACACAGTACGTCAAACATTGTTTTTATACAAATAAGCCTTTTTATTTAAAAAAAATCAAGAAAGGTTTAATTATTTCCTTTTTTTGTAAACTCCCCTATCTTATTAGCCAAGTAGCTTAGTATATACGGAGTAGCTCTTTCAGTTAAAAGGAAAAACAGTACTCCGTATTTACTTTAATATTTACTTTACTACCGGCATGATTACTTATTTACATAGAATCGTTTTTCAAAGAAAGCTATACATTTTGGTCTTACAAATGTGCATTATGAAGTTAATAGCATCGAGTACTCAATGAAAAATGAGAAACAATAAAAACCTTACAAAAAGAAATAAAGGACTAATAAAAAAGGAGGTGGGATACAATAATAACTTAAATGACTCAATTCATCATAATCCTGATCTTGATCATGATACATGTGTCTGTTTACCTTTTAATCTTAATAGTTTAGCCAAAAAAAACCGTACGCACGCATGATACTCAGAAGTTAGGTTAATAAAAAGGAAAAATGAACTTAACGTGGTTTAAGTAGAATATTTATTGTCAAAGTGTTTTTTTCTTTGAATGACTATAATTAATGACTTTAATTTAAACTATATATGACATGGTTTGTTTGTGTCTCGCTATGTTGCTCTCGGTAAGTTCCTTCATATGTTTTATTTAAGTAGAATAAATGTTCTCAAAGTTTTGTTTTTATATTTACGTAGTACTCGAGTATAATCGTAAATTTTTCTGAAAACTGAAAATTGTCAGAAACTGAAAACACACAAGCTTGGTTGAAAGATTGTCCTTACTTTTCAATAAAAACTAACTAAGGTGATGTTATTATGTCTTATAGTTTTGATCTTGTGTCTTTCTTTCCAGGAATCTGCACTGCATCATAGTGTCCATAGCCATGATACAAGACCCTAATAGGACTATCTTTGCCATACTCTTGCCCGTATTCTGCAATTGATATTAGGCCACGATGCTTTTGGTCATACATGTACACTGTGATAGGCATCCTGCAGGTGAAAACTAAACTGCTTTTCAAGGGAATACATATACCAAATCCATTCTTAAAACATAATGCATATTAACGCCTTGTTTGATTGCGCACTTCGTGATATAGTTGGAGTCAGTTGGCCAAATCATCAAGCTTTACGTGTTGTTATTGAAGCTAATAGAATAATGACAAGTGTCAAGTTAGTTAACAGTCTGTTGTATTAGCTAGCTGACTTTGTTATCTCTCGTTTAGCATATATAGTTTTCCCTGTACATTGTTGAGATTCAAGAAATGAAATACAAACATCTTCTTCCCCATATCTTCTCTTCTATGAAATCTGACTATTCTTTCTATACTAGCTCTCGTTATCTCTTCCACATCTAACGCAGATAACCTGACTGGTATCATTGGTATCAGAGATCTCGATCCAATTACTGTTGAATTCGATTCTTGTGAAATTGAAAACTGCGAACGATCTCAGGTAAGGCATGGTGCAGACTCGAAATTCTAATTTCGAAATGGATGAAGCCCTGATGAACATGCAATGTGAGTTCGATCAAAAGCTGGAGAGTCAAAATAAACTAATGATGGACATGATGGGCAAAATCATGAAGAAAGTAGTTGGATTACAGAAAAACAAGAAAGGCGGCAGTGAGGAGGAGACAGATGAAGATGAAGTTGGAAGCGAGGATGAGACTTCTTCGGATGAGGAGGATGACGGTGCCGGTAACAAATCTACTCCGACTGTTACAAATAGCTTCAGATTCAGTCCAAAAGTGGAATTTCCTAGTTTTGAAGGACAAAATGCTAAAGTGTGGATCCAAAAATGTGAGAGGTATTTTAAACTTTGTAATATCCCTGAAAACCAAAGAGTTAATCTAGCTTCTCTATACCTGGAGGGGAGGGCAGCAGGTTGGTTTGGGAATTATGTGACATCTAAGAAGAAATTGAAGTGGAAGCAGTTTACAACAGATCTTAATGCTAGGTTTAATGACAATTTGGGTAATAAAGTTGTTGAGAAATTTAACAATTTGAAGCAAACAGGTCCTTTAGAAACCTTCATTGATGAATTTGAGATGTTGAAAGCTGCTATGGTACAAAGAAACCCAAAATTACCATCAAATTATTTTCTGGATTGCTTTTTGGCTGCCCTGAAGCCTACATTGAAATCATTTGTGAAGGCTTTTAATCCCAGAAGTATAGCTGAGGCTATAGAATTTGCAAGATTTCAAGATGATACTGTAGAAGCCATAACAACACAAGCCAAGTATGGGGGTGTTCCCAAGACAATTCAGAATAAGCCTCTATTGCCAACACCAGTTCAAGCAGTTCAGAACTCTAAATTGGTTAGCAATCCTGTGAGGAATAGTAACATTGTGACTACTCCAAGAAGATATGTATCTGCATCGGATAGAGCTGAGAAAAGATCCAAAGGGTTATGCTACTATTGTGATCAGCCATATCACAAGGAGCATGTATGCAATCATAAAGGGGCCCAACTGTTTTTAGTAGAGATTATGGGAGATACTGAAAACAGTAGCGAATGCAATATAGAACAAAGTCAAGAAAGTATCAATGAATACACTATGCAGGAAGAGGAACCATTGATATCACTCCATGCAATTAATGGTTACTCAGATTTTAGAACTATGAGACTCAATGGATATGTGGGAAGAAAGAAGTTGCTAATTCTAGTGGACTCAGGAAGTACACACAACTTCTTGAGTTTTAATATGGCCAGAAAGTTAGGTTGCAAGTTGGAAGAAGTGAAACCTATGGCTATAGCTGTGGCTGATGGAACTCAGACTGAATGTCACCATATTTGTAGAAAGCTCACTTGGAAATTACAGAATACTCAATTCCATGATGATATATTAGTGCTGCCATTGGGGGGATATGACATGGTGTTGGGGGTGCAGTGGCTGAGCACTTTGGGAGAAATACATTGGAACTTTCAGGATCTTTATATGAAATTCCAATATAAAGGGCAAAAGGTAAGATTGAGGGGTCAACAGGTGGGCAATTTGAAAGTAATGCAGGGTACTAAGAAACAGCTAACTCAGACTACCCAACTCTATCTAATTCAATGCCAGAATACATCATTAGAGAAGACAAGTGAACAGGTGGAGAATCATTTTGGGATTAATATAACTGCTGATGAGACTACTCATGTGACCCCAGAAGACTTGCAACCATTGATCAAAGAATATGAAGATATTTTTAGAGAGCCTCAAGGTCTGCCACCTAGCAGGGGAATTTTTGATCACAGGATCCCTGTAAAGGAAGGGTCTCAACCAGTGAATGTAAGGCCCTATCGATATCCATTGAAACAAAAGGATATAATTGAGGAGAAAGTTAAAGAACTGCTGAGTAAGAATGCAATTCAGCCCAGTGCATCACCTTATGCTTCACCAGTGATATTGGTAGGAAGAAAGGATGGGGATTGGAGGCTATGCACGGATTATAGGGCCCTAAACAATCAGACAATTAAAGATAAGTTTCCTATACCAGTTGTGGATGAATTAATTGATGAATTATCCGGGGCAAGTATATTTTCTAAAATTGATCTAAGGGCTGGTTACCATCAATTGAGGGTCCATAAGGATGATGTGTTTAAGACTGCATTTAAGACACATTATGGGCATTTTGAATTTTTAGTTATGCCCTTTGAGCTGACTAATGCCCCAGCTACTTTTCAAACATTCATGAACCATATATTCACAGATTTTCTAAGGAAATTTGTATTGATATTTTTTGATGATATATTGGTTTATAGTGTTGACATGGAGAGTCATAAAATGCATCTGCAGGAGGTGTTTAAAGTGCTTAGGTGATAACCCGCTTTCACGGCGTTGTAGTAAAACGGAGTTTAACCTTTCCGGATGGAAAAGTTTATCCCCGAGTATCGTGTCTCTGAGGAGTGGCGGAGGGAAGTGTTGGTTTCAATATCGGTCACCGGTTAGTACGAGTCGTTGCAAGCTTTCTCAATTGATTAATTGTGATAATGGTTAAGTAAATAAAATTAAACAACAAAAGTAGTAGCGGGGAATTTAATTAAATGACATTAATGAGTAAACTAAAACTAGTGAACATGCAAAATAAATTGAGAGAGAAATTAAAATACTAATTTAAACTAGCGAACATGTGGATAAAAAAAATTGAAAATAAAATGCTAAAAGGTAAATTCAATATGATTAGTAACAAAACAATTAACTAATTAAAAGTGGGGTCTAGATTTGGAATTAAGGATCTTGGGTGTCTTAAATTATGAACAAAAATGGGGTGATTTCTATAATCTAAGAATAGTGACATTAATTCTCATAGACAAGAATTTAATTTTAATTCCCCTAACATGTCCTATTTCTAGGCTTAGTTTAGGGTGTGTGAGATGTGAGCTAAAATTAATTCTAAACTCATAGACACAAAAGAATTAATCTTCCAAAAATTCACAAGTGAAGTGATCAATTTCACAAATTACTCCTTAATTTCATCTCAAACAACTAGTCCTAAAAATTAAAGATTTTCCCAAATTTAACTCAATATTCAAGAACACCCATTAACCTAAATTTTATCCAAATCCAAACCCCATGAAGATTTAGCCTAACATAATTATCAAGAAACTAACACAATTTATAAAAGAGCTAGAGCAATATGCGGATATCACTAAACAGTAATAAAACATAATTAACGACACAAGTATCCAATAATCCAAGTAAATAGCAATTCGCAATATGAACTAATCCAGGAATTGAAACTTAAAGCTTATTGAAGTTTGAATCTAAGCATGAAACATTTAGTATTAAAATTAAAAGATGATATAAGAAAAATCAAACTTATTGTGAATGGAGAAATATTCCTGCTTGCTGCTAGGTACTTCCTACGGCATTTTTTTCTTCTTGCGGCTGAGTGTCATGGATGTCGGTTTCAGCTCAATCCCTTTTTTTCTGTGCTTTCCGTCGGTTAACTGCTTTATCCCATGTCTGTGTTTTTTCTCTGCCTAGAGCTACTGCTGAGTAATTTCGGATGTGAATGGTCTGTTTGGCCAGTTGTTCTCCCAGGATTTTTTTTTTTTCTTCTCTTGGCCGCATCATGTGCCGCTGCCTTCCTAGCGTGGTTGGCCGGTCATTTCCTTCTTTTCTTTTGGCTGGCCGACACTCCAGAGGTGGCTCCCTTATTTCTTCTTTGACTTTTGATTAAAACAACCAGCTGCCTCTCTCTTTCCTTGCGGCTTTCCTTCTGTGTTTTCTGCTTTGGTTGGCTGTTGAGCCTCCACGCAGCATGTGCTGCTACTGCTAGCTTTCTTCATGTTTTTCTTTTCGTTTTATTTTCTTTATTTGGTTATCTTTTTGTTTTCTTTAATGTACTTAAAAGATATCTTATTCAAATATAATAGAATGCTAAATTTGACAAATCACAAAATATAAAAAGTACAAAAACAAAGTGGAAAAAAAACATAAAATCAATCCAAACACTTCAATCAAGCACAAATTACTAAAAAACGTAAATTTCGACACTAATTTTAAACATGAAAAAAAATGCAACAAAAACATAGAAAAGTATATCAATTTGCCCTGAGTTTAACAAGAAACGCTATAAAAAGTGAGTAAAAATATATGAACAAATCAGACTTATCATTAGGCAACATCAACTATTTGCTAAGATGAGCAAATGTGCCTTTGGAATCAAGAAGGTGGAATACTTGGGACACTACATCTCTGGCCAAGGAGTAGAAACACACCCTAGAAAGATTGAAACCATTTTACAATGGCCTGTTCCAAGTTCCCTTAAACAGCTCAGGAGTTTTTTGGGATTAGCAGGTTATTACAGAAAATTCATAAGAGGTTATGCAGTAATAGCTAAGCCCCTTACTGAATTATTGAAGAAGGGACCTTTCCAGTGGAATAAGGAGGCTACTGAAGCATTTAAGGAACTGAAAAAGGCTCTAACTTCTGCTCCAGTGTTGGCTTTGCCAAACTTTGACAAACCATTTGTTGTGGAAACTGATGCATCAAACAATGGCATAGGGGCAGTGTTAATGCAGGAAGGGCATCCTCTGGCCTTCATCAGTAGATCTTTGGGCGCTAAGTGGAAAAGGTTATCAGTTTATGAGAAAGAACTGTTGGCATTAGTGTTTGCAGTCCAAAAATGGGAACAATACTTGTTTGGTCAGTCATTTATTATCAAGACAGATCAGAAGAGCTTGAAATGGCTATTGGACCAGAAAATTTCTACACCATTTCTACACCTTTTCAACAGTTCTGGCTGTCCAAATTAATGGGTTTCAGGTATGAGATTCAGTACAAGAGTGGAGTAGAAAATAAAGTGGCAGATGCACTCTCCAGAGTCACAGGAGCAGAACTATTGTGTGTGGCAGTTTCATCCATCAATTCAGACTTATTGGACTTAATCATAAAGAGTTATGAGCAAGATGATAGCATACAACAACTTATGGTTAAGTGTAAGTCCAGTGCTACTCCTGGGAATGATAACTATAAATTGGAGGGTGATATATTGAGGATAAAAGGCAAGATAGTAGTGGGACATGATGTTGTGGTTAGGAAAAAGATCTTGCAATGGGCACATAGTTCATCAATGGGTGGTCATTCAGGTAGAGATGCCACAATTCAGAGAATTCGCCATCTATTCTATTGGAAAGGAATCAATAAGGATGTACAAGCATTTGTGAGGGCTTGTGTAGTATGCCAAGCTTGTAAATATGATACTGCAGCTTATTCAGGAAAGCTGCAACCTTTGCCTATTCCTGAAGATGTTTGGCTGGATGTATCAATGAACTTCATTGAAGGGTTGCCCAAATCTTGTGGAAAAGATGTGATTTTTGTGGTGGTTGATAGAATGAGCAAATATGCTCATTTTATGACCCTTAAGCACCCCTTTTCAGCAATAGAGGTAGCACAGGTATACTTAGACAATGTGTTTAAATTGCATGGATGGCCAAGAACCATTGTTAGTGATAGATGATCTATATTCCTTAGCAATTTTTGGACTGCCCTATTCAGTATTCAAGGAGTGGATCTGTTGCTATCTACATCTTTCCATCCACAAACTGATGGACAAACCGAGGTAGTGAACAGATGCCTTGAAACATACCTCAGGTGTATGTGCAGTGGAAAAACCACAAGACTGGTGCAAGTGGATCCCACTGGCAGAATGGTGGTATAATACTTCCTTTCATTCCTCTATTAAAATGACTCCCTATGAAGCTGTGTATAATCAAAGTCCCCCTATACATCTACCTATATGGCTGGGGAAACTAAGGTAGAGGCTGTGGACAGATCATTACAACAAAGAGAGGCAATGATTAAGGTGTTGAAGTTTCATCTGCTGAAAGCACAAAACAGAATGAAAACACAGGCTGATAAGCATAGATCTGAAAGAGAGTTTGAGATAGGAGAGTGGGTTTGGCTTAAGCTTCAATCTTACAAGCAGAATTCTGTAGAATTGAGAATAAATGATAAACTCTCTCCTAAATACTATGGCCCATTTCAGATAAGCAAGAAGGTTGGGAAAGTTGCTTATCAGTTAATGTTACCAGTTGAAGGTATTCAGAGGTGAGTTACCAGCCAAACCTCATATACCTGAGAGGTTGCATGGGATATCTCAGGAAGCTAAGGTAGAACCTGTAGCTATTTTGGAAAGAAAATTAGTAAAACATGGAAAGGCAGCCAGAATTAAATTTCTGATACAATGGGAGGGTCAGAGTATTGAGAATGCTACATGGGAGTGGGCAGATTCAATCAAGGCATTGTATCCTGCTTTTTACACTAGTATGACTTGAGGACAAGTCAGGTGTTGAGGAGCGAGTATTGATATAGTTGGAGTCAGTTGGCCAGATCATCAAGCTTTACGTGTTGTTATTGAAGCTAATAGAATAATGACAAGTGTCAAGTTAGTTAACAGTCTGTTGTATTAGCTAGCTGACTTTGTTATCTCTCGTTTAGCATATATAGTTTTCCCTGTACATTGTTGAGATTCAAGAAATGAAATACAAACATCTTCTTCCCCATATCTTCTCTTTTATGAAATCTGACTATTCTTTCTATACTAGCTCTCGTTATCTCTTCTACATCTAACGCAGATAACCTGACTGGTATCACTCCGACTTATGTAGAATAAGTAGCTCTTTAACACATTTGGCTCAAATGGATCTTACCAAACACTGTTTCTCTAAGAAAATTTCAGCAAATGCGGTCAAATACTCCATGTCTCCCATGAAAATAATAAGAGTATAAGACTTGACATTCTTTTCATAAAGGTGCAATGATTGGAACAGAAACTGAATGCCCTATTTGTCTGTCTCGGTTTTAACATTTTATCAATGTGGATGATTTAACCCCTCTCATGATAATAGTTGTGCTTTTTTTAGGACTAAAGGGATTGAATAACTGATTTAAGCTTGATGTACAATGAAATTATGTTAAAACTTAGAGTTCTATCCTTAAAGGTCAGGTCAACTTTATACAATAAGTAACTCAAAATCTCTGGTTTGTAATTTTATTCCTTATCAATATGGAATAACTTGCATAGACACACATGGATAATGGAAGAGAGACTTACCGGAGAACGTGAGAAGCCATTAACAATTCAGGTTCACCTCCCCATACATGAGACTTCCTCATTTGAGCAACATATTTGTCAAAATCACCTTCAATGAACCTGCAAGATATTAGTTGGGCGTAATTTGTGCTACAGTTAATACCTCTCTAATAGGCATGTTCAATTTCATCAAGCAAGTGACAACTTTCACTTTGACTCTGGTTTTATATCCAAATCGCATCTAATGTATAATTCAAGTCGCAGATGTAGTGTGGTCAAATTAAAAGTTCAGGTCAAAATTCTGAACCTCCACCATGTTTTGAGCACTAAGCTTAGAATTAACTTTTACAGAAAATTATAATTTTAAGAGATGCATTGTACTAACCATTCAGTCTCTTCACGTCTCCTGATAAATTCATCTACCACCTGGCAATATAGCCATATAGGTATCAGCAGATTACAGAGAGACAGCAGCAACTTAGAAATGTTTGTTTAAGTTTCTCTTCCTTTATTAGAACTTAGAAATGTTTGCTTAAGTTCCTCTTCCTCTTCCTTCCAGCAACTTAGAAATGTTTGTTTAAGTACTCATTGATATTCATGATGTGAGGAGATAACTATTGTGGTAGAGTAAAATCTTAAAACTAACATATTTGGTGGGAGCAATTCATGCATTTAGTGTAAAAGTTCTTAATAATGAAGCACACAAGGAGCAACCATACTTTTTCTCTCAATTCATCCGCTAATTGCCTTTGAAGTTTTTCATCAGGGGGAACCTTTCCTGATCTTAAACAAGCTCCATGAGCAACAGAACGAAACATGCATCTCCCATCTCCAGGTATACCTGTGTTATAAACTACTTCCAGCTCAGGTCTCCAAGTTTTACACCCACAAAGGATGCTAAAATCACCACCAAGATCAGCAAATGGAGAAGGGGCGTCAGCCAGCAGTGTATTTCCGGCCAACAATTCCGGTGAAGCCCACAAAGGAATAAGGAGGGGTGGTCTGTGAAAATAGGGTTTCGGCCAAGAGACTCCATCGGCAGAACAGATGTGAATATATAGGCGAGGCTCAAATCCATAAAGATGGTAATTACCATATAGAGAGATTTCGTAGAGTTCGAACAAGGAAAGATTGTCGAGGAAAGAACCAGAAGAGAAGCCGAAGAATGCATCGCAGAAGAGAATCGGAAATCCGATTAAACTATGGGCCGAGTACATCCAAGGTAGGTTGGGCTTAGGGAAAAATAACAAGGGCCAATACCAACACATTCTCCACCTTATTGGACCTTAGTGGTGTAGAGTCAAAACTCTAATACATACATGAGACTCATCATCGCTGGATTGCCCGAATAATCACAAAGACATATTCAGGCAAAAGGGGTAAGATCACCAGGCAACTTATCCGCAATCAATGTTTAACGTGCGTTTGCACGACATCAACTTTTCGACAGAGAGACATTTAGTCCCCATGTCAGCAGGATTAAACTCCGATGGAATTTTAATCAACTTGATATGACCTGCACTAACAATATCACGTATAAAATGAAATCTAACATCAATGTGCTTAGTTCTATCATGAAAAACAGGGTTTTTACACAATTGAATAACAGTTTGACTATCAGAAAACACACAAATATCCTGCTTAAGACTACCAATCTCCGTTAGGAGACGTTTAAGCCAAATGGCTTCCTTAAACGCTTCGGTAGCGGCCACATAATCTGACTCAGTGGTGGATAGGGCAACTATGGGTTGAAGTTGAGACTTCCAACTAATGCAAGACCCGCAAAGAGTAAACACATAAGAGGTAGTGGATTTCCTATTGTCTCTATCGTTAGCAAAATTCGAATCCACATACCCACTCAACTTAACCCCCTCAGAACACCTAGTGAAAACCAACCCATGATTAACATAAGATTTCAAGTACCTAAGCAACCACTTAAGAGCATTCCAATGATCTAAACCAGGATTAGACATATACCTACTCAAGCAACTAACAGCATAAGCAATGTCGGGTCTAGTACTCACCATGAGATACATCACGGACCCAATAGCATTGGAATAAGGCACATATTTCATTTTAGCAATTTCAGGAGCAGTCTTCGGAGACTGATCCTTACTTAACACAAAGTGAGACGCCATCGGGATAGAAACGGGAGTAGCAGAATGCATGTTATATTTACTCAAAATCTTTTCAATGTATGAAATCTGATTGAGAACTAACACACGCTTACTCCTATCCCTAATAATGTTAATGCCTAGGATCCTTTTGGCATCACCTAGGTCTTTCATAGCAAAGTTCTCTCTGAGACGCTTTTGCACACATTTAATGGCGTCACCCGAAGGACTAACAATCAACATGTCATCCACATATAGCAATAAAAATACAGGCACAGAAGAAGTATTTTTAAAGTATAGGCAATGGTCGCATTCGGACTTGTGAAATTTCAAAGATGACATGCACTGGTCAAATTTGATATTCCACTGCCTCGGGACTGCTTCAGACCGTACAAGGCCTTTCTAAGCAAACACACATGATCACTCTTCATGGGATCCACAAAGCCCTTAGGCTGCGACATATAGATTTTCTTATCTAAATCACCACGCAAGAAAGCAGTGGTGACGTCCATTTGCTTCATTTCCCAATCATTATGAGCAACAAGAGCAAGCATCATTCTAATCGTAGTAAATTTAACTACAAGAGCAAAGATTTCAGCATAATCAACACCTTCCTTTTGAGTACATCCCTTAGCTACTAACCTAGTCTTATATCTAATGTCGTTAGGCTCTTCCTTAACCTTAAATAGCCACTTATAGGCAACAACGGAACTATTGGGCGGTCTAGGAACTAACGTCCAAGTCTTATTCGCTCTAAGTGACTCCATCTCACTTTCCATGGCGCAAAGCCATTTAGCGGACTCATTAGACTTAAGGGCCTCTCTATAGGTTCTAGGTTCGTTAAGCTCAAGGGTCTCAAACACAGAGAAAGCAAACATAGAAGTATCACACATATGGAAAGCATAATCAGGCTTACTATCAGCAGTTCTCCTAATTACTCTCCTACTTCTATCTCTAGCAAGTTGATAATCATGCAAATCATTCTCACTAGAATCCGCACTCTCATCATGCGATTCATTGTCATTTGAATGCACATGAGAATGCTCCACCTCACTCGAAGTGGTGGTAGTATCATGTTCAGAAGAATTAGAATCATGCAATTCAGAAGAATCAGAATCACGCAAAACAACATTATCATGATTAGCAAACAAAAGGCTCAGCACGTGGTATGGACTCCACCTCAACGGGTGTACTACTAGGATCAGACTCAGAATCAGTGACTGACTTAACCAGACAAGGAAACTCGGATTCATTGAAAACAACGTTTCTACTTACCACAACTTTGAAACCTACCTGGTTCCTATCTTAAACCCTGTACCCCTTCACACCCTCGGGATAACCTAGGAAGACTCCTTTCTTAGACATAGGATCCAACTTGTCACCTTGTTGGTGCACATACGCTGCACACCCAAACACTCTAAGATTAGACAAATCAAGGGGTTTGTTTGAAAAAACAGATTCAGGGCACTTCCCACCCAAGGGAACAGAAGGAGACCGGTTAATCAAGTAGCAAGCATACTCCTAACCTTATCTAGAACAGTCCTATTCATCCTCTCGGCTATCCCATTCTGTTGGGGAGTATAGGGCACAGTTTTGTGCCTTCTAATCCCACAATCAACACACAGTTGGTCCATATCCTTATTGCAAAACTCTAGACCATTATCTGTCCTAAGGGTTTTGACCTTCTTACCAGTTTGATTTTCTACAAGGTTTTTCCACTCCCTAAACTTCACAAAGACATCGGACTTATGCTCAAGGAGACGGACCCACACCTTCCTAGAAAAATCATCAATGATGGACAGAAAATATCTCTTACCCCCGTGGGTAGAGACACTAGCAGGACCCCACACATCAGCATGAACATACTCTAACACAGAGGTACACTTGGTGGGATTAGGATATGGGGAGGAGGGGAATGTAACCTTATGCTGCTTGCCTAACACACAAGATTCACAAAAGGGGATGGGGGACTCAGAATCCTTACCAAAACAACTAGATTTATGCAAAATCTCTAAACCCCTATTACTCATGTGTCCTAATCTATTATGCCACAAAGCAGATTTATCAGAACTAACATGAGCAGAATCAGAGAAAGGCTGAGCATGGCACACATACAAGTTATTCACCTTTTTTGCCTTAAACAAAACAAGGGAATTTTTCAAAACTTTCATGCACCCATTACCCCATTTACCCGCTAACCCACTACCCTCAAAAGCAGCAACAAAAAACAAGTTATGACGCAAATCAGGAACATGCCTCACATTTTTCATAGTAAACACAGTCCCATTATCAAACTTCAAACATACATCACCCACCCCATGTATTTTGCATTTCTTATTGTCAGCAAGAGACACAAAACCATCATTGCAAGAATCATAAGAAGAAAACATGGATCTAAAAGGTGTCATATGATAAGTACAACCAGAGTCAATCAACCACTCATTTTCAGTCATGCTACTCAACACAGAATTGGAAGAATCACAAATCATAAAAACTTCTTCATGCAAGTTATTATCATCTACCACGTTAGCATGTTCAGACTTCTTTGGATGGGGACAATCCTTAATGAAGTGACTAGAATTACCACAATTATAGCACACTCTCTTCTTAGACTTACCTCTCTTCTTCCCCGGGTCATTGTTTTTGTTCTTATCGTTGTTGCCCTTCTTATGGTTTCTAGATCTACTCTTAGACCTACCCCTCACAAACAACGCTTCACCCGAGTCCCTAGACTGACTGTTACTACCCCTCGAGTGTCTAAGGTCTAACTCCTTACTCCTTAATCCATTAACGTCAACATCCAACGAGATATCGTCTCTACCATACTTTATGGTAGATTTGACGTCATTGTATGAGTCAGGGATGGCATTAAGTAACACTATGGGTGTGTAGTCATCTATGTGTTTATCACCAGCTTGCTTAATATTCTGAATAAGCTTGTTAAACACATCTAGGTTCTCATCTATGTCCTTAGACAGGTCAAGCCTAAATCTAAAGAACTTCTCAAGCAAAAACAATTTACCAGGCAAAGATGTATCGGTATACGTCTTATCTAACTTGTCCCACAACACTTTTGCAGAATCTACAATACCCACCTTCCTGAGCACTGAATCAGAAAGGTTCAGGTATATAGAGGAACAAGCAGTTTCATTCATTTCATCGCGTTTAACAGCATCCTCAGAGTCTAAATAGAGACTAGTCACAGCTCTATAGACTTTCTGTTGGATCAACACGCATTTGATTTTCTGTTTCCAGATATCAAAATCTGTCTTTCCGTTAAATGGAAGCATGCCATATTGATTGACAACCATATTAACCGGAAAGCAAGCACGACACGCAAGAGAGTAAATAAAATTTATCAGGCTATCAACCAGTACGAAGCAACTAGCACGAACAAGCCGAGAAGACCAATGAACACAAAGCTCGGGTACAATCTCCTTGTTCTTTCGTACCGTACAAAGCAACTAGCATGAACAAGCCGAAAAGACCAATGAACACAAGGCTCGGGTACAATCTCCTTGTTCTTTCGTACAAGCACAGATAAATTTTTATTTACTCAACAAACAGATAAATGATTAATTATAACCTATAGGGCTATCAATTGTACGAAGCAACTAGCACGAACAAGCCGAAAAGACCAATGAACACAAAGCTCGGGGTACAATCTCCTTGTTCTTTCGTACAAGCACAAATAGGCTAGAATTAAATCAATAAGCAAAGAAACTGGATTTAAAACTAATCCGGACAGAAATATTCCCAACTTCGGACAACAAGTATCCAAACAAATAATCTTAACCGGAAAGTTTATCCACAAATCAATTAACAGAAAAAATCAAAAAAAAAAAAATCCAACACGTGATTAAATTTAAACCGGAAGAAATATTCACAACTTTGGACAACGAGTATCCAAACAAAATATTCTTCACCGGAAAAAATTAATCACAAACCAACAAGTAATCACAATTCAAACAACCAAGTAATTGCAATTCAACTTTAAATTAAAATGAATGAACTACGAATAATAATCACACAAAGGATTAGTAAACGTACCTGGGGCCGGGCACAGCCGGCTTCCAAGACCACGAAGGTCAGCGGGGGGGAATTAATTCGGTGGCACCCCGGTACACCAAGAAGAGTTAAAGCCAATTTACCTGAGCGGGGTCCGAGGTTGGGTTACTCGACTTACCGTAGGCAGCGTGGGCTGCTGTAGAGCACGGCGTGGATGGCGGCAGCAGACTGGAGCGGCGGCAGAACTTCCCTGGCAGCGGCAGCGGGTCTGGACCGTACTGGCAGGCTGAAGCTTTTGGACTGCCTGAAGCTTCTGGACAGCGTCTGGACTCCGGCAGAATGTCTGGCCAACTCCAGCGACGACGGCTGGACGTCCGACGGTGGCAGACGGCGGTGAGACGGCGGCGGGCGGCGGTTGTCTCTGATACCACTGTTATAAACTACTTCCAGCTCAGGTCTCCAAGTTTTACACCCACAAAGGATGCTAAAATCACCACCAAGATCAGCAAATGGAGAAGGGGCGTCAGCCAGCAGTGTATTTCCGGCCAACACTTCCGGTGAAGCCCATAAAGGAACAAGGAGGGATGGTCTGTGAAAATAGGGTTTCGGCCAAGAGACTCCATCGGCAGAACAGAGGTGAATATATAGGCGAGGCTCAAATCCATAAAGATGGTCATTACCATATAGAGAGATTTCGTAGAGTTCGAACAAGGAAAGATTGCCGAGGAAAGAACCAGAAGAGAAGCCGAAGAATGCATCGCAGAAGAGAATTGGAAATCCGATTAAACTATGGGCCAGGTACATCCAAGGTAGGTTGGGCTTAGGGAAAAATAACAAGGGCCAATACCAACACAACCTGAAAAGCACTACACTTGTTATTTTACAAATATATCATTGAGAAAGGTCAAACACATTATTTTGGGAGGAAAGAGAAAAAATCAATGCTATAACAAGAAATAAGTTTTAAAATGTGATCTCAAAAATAACAGAATAGTCAGTATAAATCTCCTTTCCTCCACGTAAAGAATCAGATACATCATCCTTGTTTTCTTTACACTCAAAGCCTTTGGCATAAACGAGATCAGAATTTGAACAGCAAACAAGAAGGAAGAAAGATGCAAAACACTTCTGCCACGTTATGAGTCCCATGTTACTGTAGCCCTTTGCTTGACTAGGGATGAAGAACTTTGTCATATCCACGTTGTGGGTCCCAGTTGAAATAGCAAGATAATCCTTCCTGGAACTTCGAAAGCAGATGGTAGGTATACTGGAATTGGACTTGGATGATAAAATGGTTGTGTACCTAAACTTGGAATGCCCATAGGAAACTATATTTCTTCTTAAACAGACTACACTTTTTACACAAGTTTTGCTAGGGGAATAGAGCATCATATTGGTGATTTAACCATCCACCTGAATAAGTATGCACTAAGATCCACGACGGTTGATTGGCTTCAAGTTCAGCTACAAGAATACAAATAAAGCCAGAAATCAGATTGGATTCACAAAAATGAATTATGCTTGACTATAATAATCATCCCCCCTTTTCCTCACAAGTATGAGGAGCACATATTTGTTCAGATGCATGTTAAGTCATTCCAAATAGAATCAATCACAACAGCAAAGTAGATTTATGGAGCATGCTAGTGTGCTCACTAAGGAGCACACTGGCATAATGAATGACTAATTTAAGATTCATTCATCTATAATATTTATAATATTTATTGAATCCCGATCATTCATCACGTTAGCGTGCTCCTTGGTGAGCACATTAGCTTGCTCTATATATCTTCTCCAACAACATCCGAACCTGCCCTATCCCCTAAAGAGTTTAGGATCGACTAAAAACAATACATGAAATCGGAGTTAAAAAGATATAAAAAAAAGTTAAAAAATAAGATAGAAAACATAAACTGTCCGTACTGAGATTACATAAGGAAGAGTTGAAATAAAAAGATGGGCTCCCGTGCAAAGTGCAAATGATTGCACTTTTTCTCACTGCATTGTACTATTTCATATTTGTGTTGCATTTTTTCACAATTGTAGAAAAATTCAATTTATTTACGAAATTGTCACCGAATTGTTGGTCAAATGTAGTGCATTTTTTGCTCATTTTGAGTCATTAAATCTGAAAATGAATGCACAGTAAAAGTTCCTTTCAGGACAACCTGACAGGAACCGCCATCCAGACCTCCGAGTTTGAGCCCCTTCCGGACAAGGGATAAGAAGTTGTTCTCTTCGGCTCGTCTAAATGTTTATGATCTGATTTTTTTTTAAGTTCTGATCTGATCTGAATCTTTCTAATCTGATCTGATCTGAATGTTTCTGATCTGGTCTGATCTGATCTGAATGTTTCTGATCTGAATCTTTCTGATCTGATCTGATTGGAATATTTCTATAATTATAATTATTATAATCATTATAATTGTAATTACAAATATAATTTAAATAAAATTATAATTATAATCCTAACTATAATAATAATAATAATAATTAAAATTAAATTAAAAATGAAAAAAAAATTATACCTATAACACTAATTATAAATATAGATATAATTATAATTGTAATTATATTTTAATTATAATTACTTATATAATTATAATTGTAATTATAATTACAATATTTGTCTCTATAATTGTAACTATAGTTATCAATATTATTATAATTACTCCGTAAAATAATTACAATAGTAATAATAATAACATTATTCATAATTATAATAAAAATAATAATTATAATCATAAATTATAATTATAATATAATTATAAGTATAATTATAATTATTATAATTAATAATAATTATAATTATATTAACATTAATTATAATATTATAATATAATAATAGTAATATAAATACAATTACTATTATTATAACAATATTATTATGTTAATATTATTATTACAATAATATAATAAAAATATGATTATTATTATTACAATTAGTATTATATTATTATAATATTATATTATAATTATAATTATGATTGTAATTATAATTATAACTATAACTATAATTATTAGAATTATAATTAATTACAACTACAATTATAATTAATTATAGATATAATTATAATAATTACAATTGATTATACTTATAATTATAAGAATTATAATTATAATTATAATATAATTATATATAATTATAATATAATATTATAATAAAATTAATCATATTATTATTATTATTATAATGTAATAATAATAATATTAATAGTCTTCTTAATAATTGCATTTATATTACTATTATTATATTATAATATTATAATTATTATTAATATCTTATTTTTTATCATATTATTATTAATATTATTAATAATAATTATATAATAATAATAATCATAATAGTAATAACAATAATAATAATAATAATAATAATAATAATAATAATAATAATAATAATAATAATTAATATAATAATAAAAGTGATAAATCATGTTTGAACTTTTCTGATCTGATCTGATCTGATCTGAATGTTTCTGATCTGGTCTGAATCTTTCTGATCTGGTCTGATCTGGTCTGAATCTTTCTGATCTGATCTGATTTGAATTTTTCTGATCTGATCTGAATATTTCTGATCTGATCTGAATAAAATAAGAATAAACTATAAGTAATAAGAATAAGACGAACGGAAATACAGAATAGCACCTAAATTATTTGATACTCCCTCCGTCCCTGAATGTTGTTCCAATTGCGGATTACGAAGGTTGACCGACGATAAAGTTAAATGATCTCTGTGAAAACTCGGATTATTTTTAGTAAATAAAATTTACATATTCAGAAACTACATTAAACCCGCTACAAAGCCTGCAAAAAAAATCAATTTTCATAAAGTTTTGATACAAAAAGTAAGAGTTTAAGAGTGATTTAAGTTGACTCTCGAAAAACGAAATGGAAGTAAATTTAGGGATTTTTATTTCCAAAATTTATATTGGGGTGCGGCACAAGGGATTGGGCATCTGCACAACGAATTTATATTGTTTTACGAATTTGTCTTTCGAGCTTCACCTCTTGCTGGACGGGATCCTATGGTGATATGAGAACGTGTGTTGTCTGAGATCGGGCACTGTGAAGGGAATATCAGCTTTCTTTCTGGAATGAAGGTTGCACGCAGCTGGCAATTTTTGGGTGCAAGGCATGGGCAGCTGGATGAAGCATTTTCGTATGGTTGGAACTAGGAACATATAAAGGGCATTTTCGTATTTTGACCAAATAAAACACCAAAAAATGCTCTTCCTTCTACCAAAAACATTCCAATTTTAACTTTCTCTAAAATCACTCCATGTTAAAACCCTGGTTTATGCTTTTGCTGCTACATTTCAGTTGTCTTGCGAGTCGGCAAGAATTGAGTAAACACAACAATGGCTTGGGAACCCATTCGCTGGCTTATCTTCTTCGTCATGAATATTTCCCTTCTATGCATCAATCTATATCAAGTACGTCACTTTACCCGTTTTTGACAGGGTTGGATAGTTTTCCCTGAATTAATTATTATGATTTAGCGTGAATATTAAGTTCACATTTTTCATGAAATGTATCCATTCAATTTAACCTCGACTTGATTGAATTTGAATAGTTTTTAATTCTTTTTTTTCACTGCAGATGGTATGTTTAACGGATTTAGAGGCGGACTACATGAACCCATATGAATCCGCGTCTCGCATAAACAGTGTGGTTCTTAAAGAGTTCTTATTGCAGGGCGCATTTTGTTTTTTGTTGCTTGTCACTGGCCATTGGTTATTATTCTTGCTTTCACTTCTCCCAACTTACTTCAATGCGAAAAAGTAAGATTCATGTCATTTGTCCCTTGGCTATGAATATTCCTTCAGTATACGAAGTGCATTGTGTGCAGATGGCATGATTTTAATTTTTATTATTTTATTCTTTATTATTTGCCTCCCTCCCCTACAATTTCTCCCATTTTGATGAAAAGAAATATATACCCATATGCCATATGGTCACCTATATGACAGCAAAGTGATGGCAAGCTAAGGGCTCATTTTGTAACGGTGATTTTTTTGAAATGACAAAAGATACTTAACATGGCAGAATGACTATATCGCTGAATTTTTCTATATTACAATAAAAAGGAATAGAAAAATATTTCTATGAAATTAAAAAAAAAATCCATTTATGGAAGAACAAGTATAGCTGTCATTTTCATTCATTTGAGACTTTGAGTAACTTAGTCCAAAAAGGCGTCCTGCACTATTTTACTCATATATCTACCAATCCCGCTCTCACAATCAAGTAATCAACTAAGTTGGTAGTATTTGGTATACAATCTTCTTCTAGGTTCTAAATGACACCAAAAGTAATATGTTGGTAGGTGTAATATATTGTCAGTAAATGAAGGAAATCACCATTTTTTCAAGCTTATTGATTGACAATATTGTATCATATTTATATGAGTTTATACTTTGACAAAACTGCAGGTTCTTGGCAAGCCAATACCTCATTGATGTGACTGAAGTGTTTAGGGTGATCGACTCGGAGAAGAAAATTCGGATTGCCAAGCTGGCCTTCTATCTAGTTTTTTTCATTGTAGTCCTCATCAGGTCAGTTATATACCTTAGTGGCTTATTCCACTTAGACTATGGCACCGAACCATTGGGTTAGGGCTCATATTACATTATTTGCTCTGGCATAGATCATTCTTTGCAGGCACATTTTCTATTGTGCTTTCGGTTCTTAGATCCAATGGCGATGACTTAGATGTTCGCTCCTCTGTTCTTGAATTTTAGAGGCTTGATTGTTTGGATGTCATATGCACATCCAAAATGCTATTACCTCGACTAAAGGGTATGTTTGGTTCACAGTAACTGCTAGAGAAAGGAAAAAATTGTCAATGAGAATTATTTCTTATGCCTGTGCATTACATTGGGAAATGCAAAAGGAATATAGCATGATCATTTTTTCAGTTTTTTTTCTTATTTTCATAATCTTTAGTCATTATTCATTATATACTTCCTTCGTTCACTTCTACACGCTCCACTTTTCTTTTATGGGAGTTTTTTATTACTTTTTTACACTAAAAGAAAGAAATAGACATGTCTTGTTCCTTTCGCAAAAATAGAGTGTATCTTTTAGACTTTTAGTATCTTCTCAAATAAGCTCCACCTCTTTGAGCTTCTTTTTATAATCTATGTTTAACTCTCTCTTTTTAAGTTACTTTAAACATATCCATTTGTGTCATTTTGTATTTCTAAGTCTGCTTATGAGCTACATTTACCAAAAACTAATATTCAGAATTGAGATCAGCTATGAGCTCTCAAATAACTTATCAGCTATCGGATTGGTTATTGGGTATCGACTAGCTTATCGAATTTGTATTCCAAAATAGCCTAAAATGGTCAATGGCTCAAATAACAATGGTGATACTGAGTATTCCATATCATGCTACTGAACTTGTTTTATACCTACAATCGATGCATATAGTTATATAAATACCTTCTAAGTACTAACTGTAATCAGAAATAAAATGACGTATTTCTCATAGCTCTTTCTGTATGCTTACTTAATGTTTGAGTTAGTCCCCATTCCCTATGGATGTGTTTGGTTCAAGAGGGGATGGAAAGGGAGAGGAGGTTCACCTGTCTTTTTTTTGCTAAATATATTGGGAAGTGAGTTAACTTTTCTTCTTCACCCCCACCCAGAATCAGATTCGTCCTATGTTGAGAGAGTGCCTTTCAACCAACACCTGATCATATGGTGGTATTTGATGCATATTCTTTTCTTATGTTTAATGAATTCATTTCTGTAAATCCTGGTAGTTTTGTTTGATAAACTTCGCATGTTGTATGTAGAAATTTCTTCCTTTCATTATCACAATTATGGAATCCTTATTATATGCAGGCTGGTAATATCTGTGACCAGATATCTAATTGACGATGTTCGTGAAGATTTTCATTTCGGTGTTGCTAGCAGTGCTATTTTAAGATGAAACCCATTTTCCTAAGGTTTTCCACTTTGGAGCTGAAGCGTGGAAATTGAGCTCATTTGTGGGTGTTATGAGGTCAACCCGTTAGCCCTTGGATTTGAGATAGTTCTCAAAATGACCCTCTCGTATGGACGTTTCATATAAGTGAAAATTAATTTAAATACCCCAAACTATGGGAATGTGTGAACTGTGAACCCAAAACCCCAATCTTCTACGTATATAAAATTAATTAACTGAAGTCAGCATCATGAACATAGGTTTTAGGATGCTCACCGCACAATTTGAATAATTCTGAGATTATGGGACACACATTTAATTTAGTATTCAAAGCATACGTTTGGGGTTAAGCAGTCTATGTTGACAGCATTAAGATCACATTTAATGTAAAGTCCTGGACACTCATCTGACACGTTGAAGTTTGGGGTGCTTGGTTCACATATCCTCATTGTTTGGGATATTTGAATAATTTCACTTCAATCTTGTGAAATATTGAAACTTATCCAGTTGTTTAGCTCTAGTCTGGGGAATTCCAATGATGAGCCCACCTCAAGGCTCATAGTTTCTGTTGTCAATGAAGGAGTGTTTTGGTCTACCTCAAGGCTTTGTAAGAAACATCCATAGCATAGCTAGGGATGTTCTGAAGACTAATCCAAACTTAAGGGTTAGCTTAGGAAGTATCAAATTGAGTAATTGACTAGTTTAAAAGCCAGTTTCTCAAGTCTGAACCAACTTTGCACACTCATCTTTCCAAATTCTCATCTTGGAACATAGCTCATCTAGGGGTGGACTCGGGTCGGGCGGCCCGGCCCGGTACTGTTTGGGCCCGGCCCGGACCGGTTGGCCGGTTTTCAGGCCGATTTGGGCCTATCGAACAGCTCACTTCCCAGGGCGGGCTCGGGCCTCCTAAAAGTGGAATCGGTCGGCCGGTTCGGGCCATTTTTTTTCAATTTTTTTTTGTTTCTACCAGTTGGGCTGGGTGTTTTCGGGGGGTTTGGGGGGGTCGGGGGTGAGGGGGGGGGGGGGGGTCGGGGGTTAATTACAAAAGCAAAAAAATAAAAAAAATAAAAAAATAACCTTGAACTGGAACCGGCCCGCCTCGGCCCAGAACTGCTACCTACCCGGGCCGGTTCCGGTTCTCCCTTCCCAAAGAAAAATCCCGGCCGGGCCCAGGCCCGAACCGGAACCTGCCCGGCCCGGGTCCATCCCTAAGTTCATCTAGTTCAATTGGTGTCTGACAGAAACGTAGCCCATCGTGTTCTCTCTGTGTTGGTATTTGGTAATACATAAAAGATTATTATATGAACAAAGTTTAAATTATACTACCTCCGTCCCTTTTTTATTGGGACGGAAGAGGGTGTCACGAGTTTTAAGAAAAGAGGGTTTGCGTGGTTGATATTAATTGTTAAAGTAAGAATAAAGTAAGAATGATTTTAAGTCATACAAACTTTACCAAATAATGTATGAGACAATTAAATAAGGTATGAGACATCCCAATATGGTAAAATGGGACATTTAAAAGGGGACGGGGAATAGTTATTTAAAATGTGAAGCATTAATACATTATTAATCTCTCACTGAAAAAAAGGATTCCAAAAATAGCCCCAAAAGATTCCAAAGCTCTTGGGTGGATGCCTGGTCTGGCTGGCCACCAGGAAAACGTTTGGGGGCAAGAGTAGTCATGGACCCGGGCCGGGCTGGTTCCGTTTCAGGCCTGGGCTTGGCCGGGCTTTTTTTATGGAAGGAAGAACCAGAACCGGCCTGAGTAGGCAATGGTTCTGGGTCGGGCTGGGCCGGATCATGATATATTTTTTTAATTTTCTTTTGCTTTTCTAATTAACTCCCGACCCCCCCCCCCCCCACCTCAACCCCCCCCCCCCCAAAACACCCAGACCAACCCGGGAGAAACCAAAAGAATTGAAAAAACAAAAAAAGAAGAAAGAAATAGGCTGACTGGTTCCGGGCCGGTTCCACTTTTAGGAGGCCCGAGCCCGCCCCGTTTAATTCCCGGTTTGGGATTTTGGGTGGCCCGTACCTGTCCTATAACCGGGTACCGGGTACTGGGCCGGGCCCAAACAGTACTGGTTTCGGGTCGGGCGGCCCGACCCAAATCCATTACTAGGCAAGAGATCGGCTCGCACATAAACATTTTCAAATGAAAACAAATACTCCGGACTACGGTATGAAACTTTATTTTTTAAAAGAGAAAGTAGAGAACTGAAAATATACCCGTCCAGGTTCAATTTGTTAAAAAATATACTTTGTATAAAATATATACATAGTAGGATACTACTCCTCCGTTCCGAAATAAACGTCCTATTTTGACTTCACACAAATTAAGAAAATGAATTTGACTTCACACTGTCGCGACACTGTTTGGTACTATAACGACACTGTTTGACACTGTTTGGTATAGATTTGTTTACCAAATAAGGAAGTTAAAGAAGTAGGACATTTATTTTGCGACATCCATTTTGGGAAAGCAGGACATTTATTTCGGGACGGAGGCAGTAATATTTGTTAAAATGTAAATAAACTATTTATGCCCTTAAACGTAATTTATATTTTCCAAACTCTTTTCTAGCTCTTTTTTACAAACATGTATACTCCATTAAACTAGCAATTCAGATTTAACACTTCAGACAATAGCTCTCAAATAAGACTTTAGTTTCCAGTTCCAGCCCATTGTGCCAAACATAGCCTTAATTAATAAATGTGTCTTGAAATACAAGTTAGGTTCATTAGTAATGTATTTTGTGAAGAAAGAGTGATTTGGAATTCTTTTAGAAAATAGAGTTAATCTCTTTCTTTGCCTTTTTCTTGGGCGAGTAGTAGTATTTTAAGGAATTTGTTTCAACTCTTTTGATATTCATATAAGAGAAAACTGTGATGACTATCAACTCTTTTGATATTCATATAAGTATTTTATCACACAACAATACAACATCCACTAAATTGTGATGACTATTTTACAAAACAAAATGTCATTCTCTAATTTTCATACTCCGTATGACAAATTATCATAAAAATCATTTTCAAATCAAATCAAAATATTCTTTCAAAAAAAAAAAATCAAATCAAAATATAATACCCAAAAAAAAATCAAAATATTAAATATACGGGGTACATATTTTTCCAGCGGCTTGGCGAGCAAAGCGTCATCTATCGAAATGGTTCCTATTCTCGCTCTGCTTCTTCTATCCCTCGCCATCCAATTATATTCAACCACGTCACGCCTCTCTATTCTCCACGGGTCTCAGTCTCCTCTCTCCATCTCCGTGACCCAGTTCGGAGCCACCGGCGACGGGATCCACTACGACACCGCCGCGATACAAAAGGCCATCGACGAATGCTCGGCAGCAGCGGCATCCACACGCACCCGACCATGCCACGTCATCTTCCCGGCGGGGAAGTACTTGACCGCAACAATCCACTTGAAATCGGGCGTCGTTCTGGACGTGAGAAGAGAGGCGACTATCCTGGGTGGGCCGAGATTGGGGGACTACCCGGAGGAGCAGAGGCGGTGGTACGTTGTGCTGGCGGAGGGGGCGGAAGACGTCGGGATCACCGGCGGAGGGGAGATCAACGGGCAAGGGCTGGAATTCGTGCGGAGGTTCGACGAGCGGAAGAACGTGATGGTGAGCTGGAACGAGAGCGGGGCTTGTTTGGGGGACGAGTGCAGGCCTAGGCTCGTCGGATTCATCGGCTGTACAAATATCAAAGTCTGGAATGTCCGCCTCATCGAGCCGGCTTATTGGTGGTCTGTTCTCCTGGACTTAAATTTCTTCCCATCTTTGCAATTTGTTTTAGTAAAAAATGAAATAATAATTCAACTATTATTGATCTTCTACTGTTATTCTAGGTGATCACAAGACTATTTTCTAAAAATAATTTCTCACTGGTTACAACTTACAAGACATAAGGTATACTTAATCCTTACTACTACGCACTCCTTTTTTATTAATCTCAATTATCAACACTCAATTTTCGATAATAATTAGTACTAAAATCCTAACAATGTATCGAGCTTAAAACCGATGTTTTGAGTCATTTAATTTATTTTCTGTTAAATTTCATTTTTTCCCGTTTTCTTTTTCGATTTATTTTTTCCACTGATTTAATTGTGTATTATTTTCCTTTAACCAATTTTACATTTTTAGTTATTTTTTCTGCTATCTTAATTTTAAAAATATAAATTTTCCATCTTTTCCATTTTCTTTTTTGCTTTCTTTATTTTGTATTGATATATTCTATAAATTACATTCTGTAAATTATATGAAATAGTTTATCGTTTAAATTTTAAAAGTTAGGGTATTGGTTTTGGTGGTTTTGGCAGTATTTAATGAAAATATATTAATTAATATTATAATTTTAAGTGATATATTGTAGAAATTATAAAGAATGTAGAAAATGTGTAAATAGTTTGAAATAAAGATGAAAATGTGTGTATAGAAGATAAATAGTAAGAAAAGTAAAGAAATTTATATATTTATACATATAAATGAAAAAATTACAATATAGAAAAGTGGTGCATTTTTTAAACATTTCCGCAAAAGTATGTATGACAATTTAAGAGATGCCATGGTTTACTATTTTACGGTTTTATTTGCAAAGTTTTTGGTTTATCATATCGGGACTACTAAAATTGGGACCAACCAGAACACATGAATATATAATAGTTGAGATTATAAACAACAGATCAACAATAATTGAGATTATTATTTTCATTTTTTCCCTTTGTACGAGTAGTTTGTGATTTTTTTATTTTGCCTACACAAATTTTAATAACACATTTTTCGAATTTCAAGTTTCAACCAATGATATACGGAGTACTATTTTCAATTGGTTGCATTCTTTGTTTAGATGCCAATAATTGAAATGGTTTAAATACTTCAATCATGTCAATAATAATGTGTTATATAGAAGTTCTACACTTCTACAAAGAAAAGATTGATTAAAGACAAAAACAAATGTAACTTTACAAAAGATATTAGTTTAAATCAACTTTTGTCTCCAACATTATTGGGTCGTAACCATTATGGTATTAAAATATTATTATGTAAAAAGGATTTCGTAAGGAAAACTATCAAATAAGCCCCTTAACTTTTCAAAAAAATCAATTAGGCCCTCCAACTAAAAATCCGATCAATCAAACCCTCGAACTATTGAAAAATAGCCAAATCCTCTTTTTAACATGTAGTCTTCCGGTTCCCGGTCAGACTGCCTACGTGGCATTTTCTTTTCTTCTTATTTTTCTTTCCTTTCTCCTCTTCCCTGCGCCTCTCTTCTTCTCGATCTGCTATTCAACACCTGCAAGGAACGACCTGACATGGTCGCTACCTCCCGGCGAGATTCTCTGGATGGATCCCAGAGTTATAAATCGGCGGATGGGTTGAAGAATATAAGACTCTTTTTAAATGGGAAGGGAGCTAATAATTGGTGGTAGAGTGGGAGAAGAAAGAGGAAGTGGAACAAAGAAGATGGAAGAAGGGGGTTTACTGGAACAATGGAACGGGAAGGATCCGAGGAAGGTGAAGGAGAAAAGTAAAAAGAAAGAAAAAAAGAAAAAGAATAAAGAAGAATAATGAAAAAAATTGAAAAAATGAAAAGTGCCAGTGTGTTGACTGTGTTCGTACAAAATAACCGGGCAATTTGTTCATTGCCGGTAAAAATGACGATTTGCTATTTTTAGTTGAGTTTAAGGGTTTCATTGATTGAATTTTTAGTAGCAGGGTTTAATTGATTTTTTTGAAACGGTGGGGGCTTATTTGATAGTTTTCCCATTTCGTAATAATATTTTTTTAATATTAGGAGGGTCGGGTTTCAGGTTAACAAACATATTAGTTAGGTACATAAACCAAATAAAATTAATGGAACACAATAAAAGTGGTTTCCATTAAGCTGTTGTTAGTTCATGCTGCAATTTTGACAATCTGGATTTCCAAAGATTTGTAATAAACTTAAGGAGGAAAAGGGTTCAACGGAGACGGCCAAATCCAAAGATATGCAGACGAATTCTACCCCAGGCGGCTAATTCAATTTGGGAGACGTCAACGGAACCCTCTGACCCTCGCTCCTTCCATTACAGGATCTCGGCCCATCAGCCCTTGTCCTCTTATTACCTGTGTAAATCCCCCCCTGGTTTCATCTTTCCACCGTACCACTCCTATCAGATCCCGTTTTGAAGTTTTGGGATTGACAGCAGTCTGCGAAAAAAGACGCTTTTGGAAGATTCATCTCATGGGCAACACGATCTATTGCTTCAAAAAGACCACAAGAGACAGTCATGGTCGTAAAATGCGTATAAAAACTGCCGGGAAAGACAGCAATGGTACATTTATCTTGGGCTATAACTGTCTCACTCACAGTAATGTAACCATTCAAAAAATAAATCATTCCTGGGCAAATCCCGAAGCCGCTCGTTCAGAGATAATGAAAGAGACTTCAGTGTTAATGAAGTTGAGGCATGAGAACATTGCAAGATTGCTTTATGTTGAAATGGGCGATATGTCTATGGGCCTTGTTTATGAGCATGATGATCATTGCTTTTTCATGGAGAAGAGAAAAATTCCTGCCAGGAACCCACATAAAATAAAGACTCATTTACATCAAATTCTTTCTGCTCTTGCGCATTGCCATTCTCTGAACATTCTTCACCGAGATTTGCGACCAAATCATTTGCTGATGGACAGCAAAGGCAATGTCAAGCTTGCTGGTTTTGGATGGGCTGTACTTGAGGCTGATAAATCGGCTACAATTATAAGTGGCACTTTGCCTGATCCTTTGCCAAGGGATGCACCTGAGTATAGACCTCCTGAATATTTCCTAACACTAGAGGAATGCTCTGAAGCATCTGATGTATGGTCAGTGGGATGTATATTTGCTGAGATGGTGACACAAGAACCACTATTTGTCAATGCTGATGGATCGCTTGGTTATCCTGGAGCTCAGGCACACAAGATTTTGCAGGTTGTCGGCCCACCTGAGGAAGATCAACTGCTGCCTGGATACACAGAGATGTGCCGTTACCCTCTACGCAGGCCGCATTACAGACGCATGGACTTTGCTAAAAGGTTCCCTGGTCTAGAAGAATCTGGCATCGATCTTCTCTCACAAATGCTTCGTGTGGAACCGTCCAGGAGGATCAAAGCTAAGGATGCACTTGGTCATGAGTACTTCCATGATTTGGACAAACCTAAATGAGAGCCCGTCTGCCTTCCAATTAACCAATCTTTGACTCGGCATCTTTTGTGATGAGTGGCTCCTTTGTGTGAATATGGAATCCCTATGTCAACTTTGTTTTATGAGAAATATGGCCTCGTAAAGTCGTGAATGAACTTATTAGTAATAATTATTTAATATGTGTCTTCTGAATAGATCACTAGCCTACGTGTATTTTATTTGCTCGAAGGGTGATTTTGGAGACTTGGAGATCTAGCTATGTTATTGATGCTTGCATTGCTTAAGTATCAGTTCAAACTCTTTTGGCTTGATCAACCTTTTGCTTGAATTAAATAAGGGTTCACCTTTTTTATTATGAATATTTTATTGCAGTAAAAAAATACTAAGCTGTTAGTTTTGATAATAGAAAGAGACCATTATTTGACATAAGAAGTCCTAAAATTGGAAATTTATTAGGGGACTTTGACTTTGCACCTCATTTTTTGGGATATATTAGACTTTGCACTCCATTTTCAGAATCATTAATTTATGCATCTCATCCGTCTAAATGCATCTCATCAGTCTAAATATGGTAAAGGAATAGGGATGCAAAGTCAAATGATTTTATGCTAAATGAGATGCACATATTAATGATTCTTAAAATGAAGCACAAAGTCCAATATCAATAAAAATGGGGTGTAAAGTTAAATTCACTCAACTTATTACGACATGGTACAAAATTATCCCTCCTTAGACCCAGTGACATCTCAAATAGTGACACCCGCTCAGTGACTCCCGGAAAACCCCCAATGACATATTGGAAACTCAGTGATCTCTTTTTTCTGGTGAAGCACCCGCCCCAATGGGCAATGACCCGCCACTGATGCCACTGCCGTGACCCATCATTAGTGACCTATTTTTTTCAATTGACAGTGAAATTGTCACCGCCAGTGACAGTGGCTCTACTATAAGTAAGTAGTGTGCACTGACATCACCAGTGGCAATGGCAGTGACTCCGTTGCCGGCTGCCAGTAGTGACACTGACTTCCATACTGTCACTAGTTCACTACCCGGCCCCTGCTCTGCCCCACCCACCCTCACAGCAAAAAATCTGAAATCGCCGCCAGTTCTTCCTCAACATTCAAGGCATCCTCATCTCTGCTGGATTGGCGAAGCGCCCCCTAAACGACGGAGCTCATCCCTGGACCAGTGTCGATGCAGAATCTCTGGATTGAGTTGTCGTCGAGAATGTAGTTTTCTTCTTCATCACAGTCCCGCTATTGTCGACCGTTGGACGTCATCAGAACATCCCCACCATGGTCGTCGTCGAAGAGCTCCACTGTCGTCGTTGTAGGAGGTGGATGCTGTCGACCCACGAGGTGGACGCCCTTCGGTCAGATGCTACTTTTGAAGCAGGGAGATGGGGAGCTCTGAGGCGGGGTGGAGATGAGGCAATGTAAGAAGGAAAATAGCAGAGAAAGGCATTTGAGACAATTCATATACGTAGTAATTTATAGTCATTTTCTGTCCAAACAAAATTTGCTTCCTATTTACGTCCTTGTTTCAACAATAAACCAGCATCTAGTCCCTTGAATGTTACTACTATATAATGTGACATATTATCCACCCATGCTTGTGTATGATCCTGCAGTTTGCATTTGGTGCGAAGTGAAGGCATATCCATCCAAGATGTTACTATATTTGGAAACTTCAATTCCCCAAATAATGACGGGATTGACGTAGAGGACTCGAATAACACGATGATCACAAGATGCCACATTGATACAGGGGATGACGCCATTTGTCCCAAATCATCTACCGGACCTGTTTATAACCTCACTGCTACAGACTGCTGGATCAGAACAAAGTCGTCTGCTATAAAGCTCGGGAGTGCTAGTTCTTACACTTTTCGGAATTTCACCTTTCATAATATAACCATTGTGGAATCCCACAGAGGTCTTGCTCTGCAGATACGAGATGGAGGTATTTAACGCATTTCTTGCTTTCGTGTCATATATAATTCGTATATGTATTTTTTATATATACAAAAGTAAGATCTACCATTGCACCTATAATAGGGATGAATTGTGTCAAATATGTGAGAGTGCAAAGATGAGATATTATAACTAGCTATAACCTACTATCACCAAATTTATCCTATTCTTTCACTTTTATTAAAAATACATTTAAATACCCAAACTTCAACTTTTCTAACAATGACATTGAAAGGATGAATTAATAATACTTAAGAAGAAAAGGAAGTAAAGAAACTAATTGAAAACATACATATATTATACTTTCATCATCCTAACAATATCTTATATCTTCGTAACCTGGCATTATCTATCTGAATATAATTATATAACCTAAAGCAACATAGTCTAATCACTTTGCAGGAAATGTTAGTGACATAACCTTCTCAAATATAAACATAAGCACCAGATACTACGACCCATTATGGTGGGGAAGAGCAGAGCCAATATATGTGACAACATGCCCGAGAGACGCCAGTTCCAAACCAGGCTTCATCTCCAATATCCAGTTTCTTAACATCACGTCAACTTCAGAGAACGGAGTGTTCTTATCAGGCTCCGGGGGTGGACTGTTGAAAAATTTGAAGTTCAAAGATGTGAATCTGACATTCACGAGATGGACAAACTACTCAGATGGCCTGTTGGATTACAGGCCGGGATGCAAAGAGCGTGTTAGCCACAAAACGGCCGGGTTCATGATGGAGCACATTGATGGTTTGGAAATTGATAATGTGTTCATGAGATGGCATACTAAGGATCCTGCTATGAACTGGAATAATCCCTTGGATTTCAGGCCTTCTACTGTGAATAACATTTCTTTGCTCAACTTCTTCTCAAAACCATACCAAGAATGAAAATGATCCATGACACGACCAATTGGAAAAGTTTAAATCATTACTCTGTCTTTTGGTCTTACTAAGCAACTTAACTTATAGTTGCTTATCGGCTCCATTTAACCCTTTTCCTTTTTTTTTGTATTATTTATCTGTTTTCAGTCTTTAGTGCGTTATATATTAGTCTGTTTATGTATTCCACTCCAGAAATCTGAATAAATTATGACCAAAGCTTGAAAACATTATTTTAATTAATTGTGTGAATTGTAAGGGATTTGTAAGAACAAAAGGTGATGAATTTTTCTGCCCTCTTCTCCTGATTTACATACGGGCAACTGGGAGAGTTAATATATCCTGGTGACGGAGAAGAGAGCATGAAAAGTTTGATTTACGTGAAAAGGTAGATGATAATTAATTTCTTTTCATTTCTTTTATGTCATTTTTAGTTTAAAATAAGAAATGTGTAGTTCTTATGACGAACAATAATTTTATTTTTCAACAAGTTAGTTGAAGTTGATTTTGATAAGAGGATTAGTAAGTGTAAGAAAGTCATGATCTTTGGATTGAGGTAATATGTCTCAAAATCAAATTTCGTGCGTGAGATTATACAACAAGCTAACTAGCTAGACAGGCGAAGCCTGCTCCACATGTGTTCTAGTGACTGAAAATAGACTTCCCTCCATGACTTGTTCAACACCAAAGTTGCGCACACAGCTGAAAACCCCACTGCATATCCTAAACTCGAAGACACATAGAACCATTCTATCTCACTATACCCATCATCGTCTTCATGCTCACCTGTGAGTCCATTCCCATGGCTGCAACTTCTCGTTAAAGGGGGCCCGCATACATCATTACCAATAAAGCTCCTGCCGTCTAAGCCCAGAAGCTGAGTGCTTTCCGGTATTCTCCCTGTTAAGTTATTGAAAGACAAGTCCAGATGACTCAATGAAGATAAAAGCGAGAGGCTATCAGGAATATGTCCTGACAAAGCATTCCTAGACAAATCCAGATATTCCAATTGCTTCATATCTCCCAATTTATGTGGGATGGGACCAGAAAAGTGGTTTCTTGACAGGTTCAATGATCTTAACTCCACCAAGCTTGTGATCTCCTTTGGGATATATCCAGAGAGGTTATTGCTGGAGAGGTCAATGCTGGTCACCAGTGAGAGAATGGTATCATACTGCAGGTCACTTCCTTTAGTACCCACTAATGCACTGTCTATAAAGAAGGTTTGTGAATAGTTATATTCAGCTAAGCTTCTTTTTGTAGCCATTGCATTGAAGTTACACACACAGGAAGGTATGGCGCCTGAGAGTTTGTTGTGAGACAGATCCAAGATTTGGAGAGAACTTAGTTCACATATCTCTCTGGGAATTTCACCTTTCATCTTATTCGAGCTTAGAATGAGAAACTTCAGCTTCAGTAGCTTCTTCCCCACCCATGTTGGTATGTTCCTGTCCAGATCATTTTCAGAAAGCTCCATCTTCACCAGTTCTGTGCAGTTCTGCATTTGAAAAGGTATGTCTCCAGAAAATCTGTTTCCGTATAGATTAAGCGACTGGAGGTTTGAAAGGAATCCCATGGAATTAGGGATGCTTCCGAACATGGCGTTATTGCCGATATTCAAGTACTTCAAAGCAGGCCATTTCATCCAACAATCTGGAAGCTTTCCACTTAATTGATTTCCTCCCAAGTGAAGAATCTCCAGATCGTATGCCTTGGCTGAGCTGCCGCATAGAAGGTGAGACGTGCCGGAAGACAGTGAGTTATTGGATAGATCAAGCTCTTTCATCGCGTGTGAGATTTGGGGCAATGAACCGCTGAATTGATTAGAACTCAGATACATATATTCATTCGGGAGTCCAATTATGGGTGGAATTTCACCGTAGAGGTGGTTATGGGACAGATTCAAAACCCTAATTTCCCAAAACCAGCTGGGAACCTCACCGGAGATCCCAGTTTTGGATAAATCAAGTTCCGAGATGGTATTCTTCTGCGTCTCCAGCCACAACAGAACCCTAGCGCCTTGACCTAGCAGTAAGTTCCATGACCCCAGTCTGAGGGTGGTGACTTTGAAGGGCGGGACCCAATTTGAGCTCACATTCAAAGTTAAGTGACTGCCTGAGGCAGTAAAGGTCTTCAACTTCGTGAGATTTGCGAAGTGGTTCTCCGTCACGACCCCTTCAAGCAGCACGTTGTCGTCTGCGTATAGATCTTCCAGATTTGAAAGCTGACCGAAACTCTCAGGGAGATTCCCGGTAAACTTATTGCCGTACAAGCTGATTTCTACCAATGACTTTAACTTTCCTAGGCTGGCTGGTATCTCGCCAGAAAATGAGTTCCCGCCAAAATGGAGATGCTGCATTCTGGTGAAGTCTCCGAATTGGTCCGTTAGTTGGCCAGAGAGTCGGTTACCCCTCATGCAGAGGAGTTTCAGAGATGTTAAGAAGCACTGTGACATATTCCCGAAGGAATCAGATATGTCACCCTCAAAAGCATTGTAGGTGAGGAACAGAAACTCTAATTTGCACATTTGAGAGATTTCTCTTGGTATTTTCCCAGCAAGGTTGTTCCCAAAGAAATCGAGGGTCTTAAGAGAGGTTAGATTCGCTACTGCGTTGGAAATGGTTCCATGTAGGAGGCTGTAACTGAAGTGAACAAATTCCAAGTCTTTACACAAGTAAAGCCAATCTGGAATGGTGGAATTGAAATGGTTCTTAGAGAGATCAATGTATTGGAGTTTGGTGGCATTGGTGAGGGTTGGGATTGGTCCGTTTAAGTTGTTGAAACTTAGATCAAGGTGAAGAAGATTCTTGAGTTGAAAAATCCAACTGGGGAGGGTGTAAGAGTTGAATTTGTTGTGGGAGAGGTCGAGGAATGTTAAAGAAGTAGCAAGGTTAAAACTTACAACTATATCATCAGGGATAGAATCAAGATTACAAAATGCAAAATGCAACTGTGTTAAAGATGGGAGCCTGTGGATGACTCGAAACCAATCCGCAGCTTTGCTTAGATCCACATAATTCAAGTTGAGGTACTCCAACCGAGAGAGCCCATATAGCCAATCAATGCTATCCGCTGTGACTCTCACGGAACCATTCAAGTCTAAAGTATGTAAAAATGAAAGATTCCCGATGGTATGAGGAATCTTTCCATGAAATCCAGCATCTGATAGATTCAAATACTTGAGGTGTGTGAGCGAGCCGATGAATGAAGGGATTGTTACCTCAAAGTTATTGAGGCTGAGATCAAGGTGTCTCAAGTGTTTGAGATTAACCAAAGATGGATTTATATTACCACTCAAACCATTGTTTTGAAGATAGAGTTGATGAACATGGGCAGTGCTAGTGATGTTGTGGTTCCTGCAAACCACACCTTTCCACTTGCAGCAATCAACTTTGACATCCCATGATGATAGGTGATTCTTTGGATCTTTCAAAGATTGCTTCAACTTCGCAAGTGATTGTTTTTCAAGTTCTGGACAACCTATGTTTATATCTCCAAAAGAATAGGCTACTTTAGAGATCAATAAAGTTATGGAGATAAAAAGTAGGAAAAAAACAGTTGCATGGATCTGTTTTGAGGCACCCATCTTTGGTGTACGCTACTCTTCTGTACACTATATCATTCACATCAGTGATATAGTGTGTACCTATATCTCTACTGTCAAACACTCAAACATAATAGTCAAATACTCAAATGATAATAATTGCATGAAGTTAAGAGCTAAGAGCTTGACCAAGTCAATTTGACATGTAAAAGAAGAAGTATAGCGTCAATCATAGCCACTTGAGAGAGTTGAAATTTGTATTGTTATCGGATAGATGTACGACATCATAGGATTCATAGCGGTTCATTTTTACTTTTTTTATTAGTTTTATCGTGATTGTTTTTATATGAACGAATGTTTATTAACGCAAAATATTTTACTGTAAAAAAACACAAAATATTTTTCATTTATTAATAAAAGACTAGTTTATTATCAAAAGACATAGAATTCTCTCTCTAGGCGAGAGCTTCTCTCTAGGCGGCTGTCTCCTCTAGGGTTAGGGGTTGTTTTTCTCCGTTTTTGTCTTCAACGAAGTGCGGCTTTCGTCCGCCTTTCGTGAGGCGCTCTTCTTCGGCAGACCGCATCACCTATATGGCGGCTAAAGGTTGGGTTTTGAAGATGTCGTTCATGGTTGAGATCAGAAGGTCATGAACGAAGCGTGGGACTAGAGGCTGAAACATATCGAGACCGGAGGCAATGAGCGGAAGATGTTACAATACTGTTGGACTGTCCCCCTCCTGAATCGCCGCCATGGAGTGCAGGAAAGTTTAGAGTTTGGAAGCAATATTTTAATTTTACTATTTGCTTGCTTTCTATTTTTCATGACCAGAATTTTTATTTTTTCTGTTGGTTACCTTTATGGTTGTAAGATTCTTGCATTAGGGTTGGGTGATGAAAGGTCTATTTTAACTGTCGTTGGCTTATTTATGCCCATTATAGGATCAACGAGTTATATTGCTTTTTTGGAAGTGATTAACTCTAAGTCTGATTCGAGAGCTGGCGGTTGATTGTGATCCTTTTGTCGTTTTACCACCTATCTGAATGATGGGATTTGAATTTAACCCATTTGTTTTGACGATCAAAATAATAAAAGACTAGTTAATTTATAATAGATGTGCAATTATATATCATGACAAATTTAAAAAAAATCATGATAAATTTGAATATTTTATAGATATGGTTGGGTGTGTGCATAAGCGATATAAAGGTAATAAAGGGGTTTTCTTTAAATATGACTAAGTTGAAGTCAATTTCCATAAAAATGTTTACGTTTACATGTGGGTAAATATGTGATTAACAAGGTCATAAATTTGAAAAAAAATATGATATCACTGTCAGATTTTCATGTTGCTTATGGATGGTCGCTGCCAGCGTGAAATGTGTCATTGTAAATGTTAGACAATTTTCTGACGATTTTTTCCATTTTTTTTTGAAAACATAAACAAAAGGAGAAATTGTCCTAAATAGGAGTAAATGAGGTTTGAAATTCCAAAACAGGAGTACTATATTTTTCTTCTCAAAATAGGAGTTGTTACTGTCATATATGAAAAATACTGTCATGATTGAAAAATCAATTCCCCTCCAATTTTTTGGCGGCAGATTTGACAGTGGCTGGACGGGTGTGAGGGGGAACTAGGGCAGATATCGGATATAAATCACAATGAAATAATTGAATTAACACAAAGCTATAGGTAATATTTGTATATATCCTTTTTCATACATAGTACTCCCTCCGTTCATTTTTATTAGGCCTCTTAGGGTTTGGCACGAGTTTTAATAATAAAGTAGTAGGGTAAGTATAGAATGTGTAGGGTAAATGATAAAGTAGGAAATATGGTATATTAAAAAGAGTAAAGTGATGCTAAAGTATGAAAGAGAGTGTATTAAGAAGAGTAAAGTGATGGTAAAGTAGGAAAGAGAAAGTAGTTTGTAAAAAGTAAATGGGGTAAAAGTAATAAAAGTGTGAGTATTTTCTCAAAAACTTTCCTTAAAGGGTGTTGGGATATATTATCCCGGCCTATTACTGTTCAGGAGCCCAAGACTTTACGTAGTACGGAGCCCAATCAGTAAGGCCCATTTTAGCCTATCAGGCCTGTTTCGGCCTTTGGGCCCATTTTGGCCCATTCGGCCCGTTAGGGTGGAGAGCCCCCTTTCCCCCTATTCCCTATAAATAGGAGGTTTCCCTCCATGTAAAAGGATCCTTTTCTTCTTCCTCCTTCTCACTAGAATAGCTTAGAACTCCATTAATGGGAGCTTCAATACTTGTACTATGTAATGGTGAGGAGAGTCTAATGAGAATTGAGAGGGCTTGGACATTAGCCTAAAAAGTCCCGTGGTTTTCTCCCTTTCGGGTTTCCACGTAAAAACTGAGCTTGTTCATACACATTTATACATATATTTACTATATCGTGTTGGATTAAACTCAACACTGGCGCCGTCTGTGGGAATCTTGTTCAAAAAGATTCATGTTGTTCTTCACTGCGAAGAAGATTTTGATACTGGAAAGCTACTAATCCGAGCGAAGGAAGAAGGAAAGAAGCTGTGGAATCTGGAGTTCAGATCTGGATTCTTCCATATCTGGGTTGGAGTTGCCGGAGCCGCCATCACCGTCTCCGCCGCCGTGGAACCTCCGCAAAAGAAGGATAAACAAGGCCAGTAGTGTGGCCGCCGTTTCAGAGGACTACCGCCTTACAAAGCTCAGCTCCTCAGTCTGAACCGCGACACCGCCGAATGCCGTCTGCCGTTAGCTTCCCCCTCCTCGTCTGAACGCCTGAGCAGTGGGCCCTGCCATCTCGCCAGACCATGGCTTGTCCTTCGGTCGAAGCTCGGCCTCGAGCTGAAGCTTCCGCCATTCATGGTTTCTTGCCTAAATCTGGACAGCAGCGCGGGATGAGGACGTGGGATGGCTGAACCGTGAAAGGCCCGAGCAAGGCCGAGAGGTTTATGGAGTATTTTGACTGAGTCAAAATTGCAACTATGGCTGGGACAGCTCGTAGGCTGGCAGAAATTGAGTGGTTCGGAGGAGGTGGCGTAGAGCCGATAGAGAGGTACAGCCTAGGAGCCATCTACGAATGGCCAAGTTGGGGGTTATGGTGGGCCAAGCCAGAGTGTTACTCAGTCAAGCTTTTTTCAACATGCTCAATTCCACCAGGATGCAAAAGCTAAGTAACACTTGGCCTTTCTCATTTATTATTCCGTAGTTAAACTGTTAAAGCTTAAAAGTGTTAAAATATTAGTAATGCTAGTATTTTTGTCACCTTTATTTAATAGGGGATCAAAATCTCCCAAAATTAAATAATGCCGAGCGATGCTCTAGTGATAATCAGTTTTCACCGTCATTTTAATTAATGATTGGTTGTTGTGGGCCCGTCGGCCCGCTCCTGATCGGCTTTAATTAGCGAGCGGAGAATACTTGAATGGCCTTGATAGGGAAATATCATTGCTATTGCCGGTTACATCACTATTATTTATTAGGGATAAATGTCCCGATTTAAATAATGTGGAGCGAAGCTCTGGTGATGGTTGGTTCAGCCAACATTTTATTGAATATTTAATTTCTTGTGGGCCCGTTAGCCCACTCTCGATCAGCTTGATTAAGCGATCCGAGCGTCTCCAGTAGGGCGATGCCCCGACGACGCATATTAATTTGAGGGTTGCACGTTAGTCCGCATGGCACTACGTGCCCGATCGACGATCATACCCCAATGTAATCCGCGCCGCTAGGCGCGAAGTGACTGTTGCCAAACGTGGCCTATGGGGCCCAAGGGCACCAAAGCACTCAACCTCGTTTTTCCGAGGGCAGTGCGACTAACTTGGGTCTGAGTTGAAAACTCACTGACCGGTGAATATCTCTATGTGACGTTCGGCGGGCTGCTAATTGGCCCCGCCGCGAGTTGCTACGTCCATTAACCCCGCACGATGAGCCGGGCCGAGGGTCACGATAACCCATAGGCCGGTAATCGTAGGTGTTAGAGAGAAAGCCACGCAGATGGCTATGTATATATACTGTCGGGCCGTGCGGCCCGTTATCATGCTTATTGCGCAGCTGAAGCTGCTCGACGCGCTCGAGCGAAATGATTAAAAGATGCTCGGCCCGAGTCTTGAAGACGTTCAGGGCCAGCTAAAGAGGAGACCATCACGGCTGAGAGCCGAGAGACGAGCATCTCCACCTCAGAGACCGATGGCGTAGGAAGAACACCTAGAGGCCGAGGGTCTAGAGGGAACTGCCACGACGAAGAACCGTGAGATGATCATCCATCATTCAGAGGCCGAAGGCCTAGAGGAGACCATCGCGGCCGAGGGCCAACTGACACAATCATATCACGACCGGCCTCTCGGCACGGCGTGATTATCATCTTCAGAAGACCGGTATCATCCCCGCGCTGCGCGGATGAGAGCCATTGCATGGGTACACTTGATCGGCCTCTCATTGCCGACATCATTATATCACTACCAGCCTTTCGGCACGGCGTGTTTATCTTTTGAAGACCGGCCTCGTCCCCGCGCTGCGCGGATGAGGACCGTTGCTTGATTTTAGGTCGGCCTCTCATTGCCGACATCATTATATCACGACCGGCCTCTCGGCACGACGTGTTTATCTTTTGAAGACCGGCCTCGTCCCCGCGCTGCGCGGATGAGGACCGTTGCTTGATTTTAGGTCGGCCTCTCATTGCCGACATCATTATACCACGACCGGCCCCTCGGCTCGGCGTGCTTATCTTTTGAAGACCGGCCTCGTCCCCGCCACCTCGCGGATGAGGACCGTTGTTTGATTCTTTCAGGTTGGCCTCTCACTGCCGACACTATCATGTTATGTTCGGCCTCTCGACACGACATATTTATCTTTTGAAGACCGGTTTCATCCCCGCGTTGCGTTGGATGAGAGCCGTTGCTCGGATATATCGGCCTGACCGGACACTATTGCCATCTCCATTATCAGGACCGACTGCTCAGCGACATTGTGATCATTGTATATCGGCTCCCAATGCCGACCCTCTTGAGTTAGCGATCGGGCTCACCCCTCCCTTCAGGAGGGTGACCATCGCCTTCGCATGACGACCAGCTATTCTATCGCCTCGTCGTTATATTTGTTCGCCATGCCACCACCATTATGTGTGACATCCCGTGATCCCTGCGAGTTTCTTGGATACCGAATGTCTTCTTCGATGTAGGAAGATCGGTAGGACCACGGACCAGGGACGGACAAAGAAGAGCTAGGGAATCTCGATGTAGATAAACCTGTTCCTCCTTGCGAGTTTCGCGGATACCGAACGTCTCTTCGAAGCAAGAGCGCCGGTAGGACCAAGAACCAAGGACGAACGAAGAATATAGATTGCCTCCCTCAAAAAAAAAAAAAAAAAAAAAAAAAAAAGATGGGGAGAAGAGGAGGGTAGCTCCTATGTGGAAGGGAATCTTGCCCGGGCGTGCCAGATCTTCTCCCACCGCCGAAGACGAACGCCCCTCGATGTAGAGGTTAGTAGAGACGCGGAGGGGGCTAGACGAACCAAGGGAGCCTTGCCAAGATAAACCTGTTTATCCCACAAATGACCATGGATCGATGGACGTGGGATAACAAAGGCGGGAACCCGTGAGGGTAGACCAGTTCGTCCCTGCGAGTCCTTGGGTACCGAACGTCCTCTTCGAAGCAAGAGACGTCGGTAAGGCTAAAAGGACCACGGACGAACGAAAAAAGGGGGAATCTCGATGTAGATAAACCTGTTCCTCCTTGCGATGTCGGCGGACACCGAACGTCTCCTCGAAGTAGGGACGCCGGTGGGACCAGGGACCAAGGACGAACGAAGACTAAAAGACTCCAAAAAAAAAAAAAAAAAAAAAAAAAAGAAAGAAAGATGCCAGAAGAGCACGGAGCAAAGAATGATTTTATCCCTCGGCGCTATTGGCCGGGAAGTACAAACTGAAAAACATATGTAAAAGAATAATTACAAAACTTAAGTACGAAGAATGAGGTGGCCGACGACGATCGGCTAACATCAGGTTTTCTTTTGTCTTAAACGACGAATACCAGCTCCCCAGATCAGGTAGGAGGAACATCGCCCGGATTTATTTCAGGCTCACCATTCCTTCCCGGATGGAGTCCTGGCAGACGATCGGCTTCTCACAGCCAATCAGGAGAGAGACTTGACACATCACCAGCACGGCCGAGGGCCGCGAGAGGCCGAGGGCCATGAGATGATCATCACTATTTTTCTGTATCACGATCGGCCCCTCAGCGCCATCGTGTTCAGATTCACGGTTCGGCTCGCCCATTCCCTCCAGGATGGCGACGACCGTCTTATGCGGCACGATCGGCTTCTCAGCGCCATCGTGTCTCTTTCACGTTCGGATCGCCCCATTCCCTCCAGGATGGCGACGAACGTCTTATGTGGTACGATCGGCCCCTCAGCGCCATCGTACCCAGCTCACGTTCAGCTCGTCCATCCCCTCCAGGGTGGCGACGAACGTCTTATGCATCACGATCGGCTTCTCAGCGCCATCGTGTCTCTTTCACGTTCGGATCGCCCCATTCCCTCTAGGATGGCGACGAACGTCCTATGCAGTGCGATCGGCCCCTCAGCGCCATCGTACCCAGCTCACGTTCAGCTCGTCCATCCCCTCCAGGGTGGCGACGAACGTCTTATGCATCACGATCGGCTTCTCAGCGCCATCGTGTCTCTTTCACATTCGGCTCGCCCATTCCCTTCGACGATGGCGACGAACGTCCTATGCAGTGCGATCGGCCCCTCAGCGCCATCGTACCCAGCTCACGTTCAGCTCGTCCATCCCCTCCAGGGTGGCGACGAACGTCTTATGCATCACGATCGGCTTCTCAGCGCCATCGTGTCTCTTTCACATTCGGCTCGCCCATTCCCTTCGACGATGGCGACGAACGTCCTATGCAGTGCGATCGGCCCCTCAGCGCCATCGTACCCAGCTCACGTTCAGCTCGTCCATCCCCTCCAGGGTGGCGACGAACGTCTTATGCATCACGATCGGCTTCTCAGCGCCATCGTGTCTCTTTCACGTTCGGATCGCCCCATTCCCTCTAGGATGGCGACGAACGTCCTATGCAGTGCGATCGGCCCCTCAGCGCCATCGTACCCAGCTCACGTTCAGCTCGTCCATCCCCTCCAGGGTGGCGACGAACGTCTTATGCATCACGATCGGCTTCTCAGCGCCATCGTGTCTCTTTCACATTCGGCTCGCCCATTCCCTTCGACGATGGCGACGAACGTCCTATGCAGTGCGATCGGCCCCTCAGCGCCATCGTACCCAGCTCACGTTCAGCTCGTCCATCCCCTCCAGGGTGGCGACGAACGTCTTATGCATCACGATCGGCTTCTCAGCGCCATCGTGTCTCTTTCACATTCGGCTCGCCCATTCCCTTCGACGATGGCGACGAACGTCTTATGTAGTGCGATCGGCCCCTCGGCGCCATCGTACTTGGCTTCACGGTTCGGCTCGCCCATTCCCTCCAGGATGGCGACGACCGTCTTATGCAGCACGATCGGCTTCTCAGCGCCATCGTGCCTCCATTCACGTTCGGCTCGCCCATTCCCTTCGAGGATGGCGACGAACGTCTTATGTAGTGCGATCGGCCCCTCGGCGCCATCGTACTTGGCTTCACGGTTCGGCTCGCCCATTCCCTCCAGGATGGCGACGACCGTCTTATGCGGCACGATCGGCTTCTCAGCGCCATCGTGTCTCTTTCACGTTCGGTCGCCCATTCCCTCCAGGATGGCGACGAACGTCCTATGTAGTGCGATCGGCCCCTCGACGCCATCGTACTTGGCTTCACGGTTCGGCTCGCCCATTCCCTCCAGGATGGCGACGACCGTCTTATGCAGCACGATCGGCTTCTCAGCGCCATCGTGCCTCCATTCACGTTCGGCTCGCCCATTCCCTTCGAGGATGGCGACGAACGTCTTATGTAGTGCGATCGGCCCCTCGGCGCCATCGTACTTGGCTTCACGGTTCGGCTCGCCCATTCCCTCCAGGATGGCGACGACCGTCTTATGCATCACGATCGGCCCCTCAGCGCCATCGTGTCTCCTTCACGTTCGGATCGCCCATTCCCTCCAGGATGGCGACGAACGTCCTATGTAGTGCGATCGGCCCCTCGACGCCATCGTACTTGGCTTCACGGTTCGGCTCGCCCATTCCCTCCAGGATGGCGACGACCGTCTTATGCGGCACGATCGGCTTCTCAGCGCCATCGTGTCTCTTTCACGTTCGGTCGCCCCATTCCCTCCAGGATGGCGACGAACGTCTTATGCAGTACGATCGGCCCCTCAGCGCCATCGTACTTGGCTTCACGGTTCGGCTCGCCCATTCCCTCCAGGATGGCGACGACCGTCTTATGCATCACGATCGGCCCCTCAGCGCCATCGTGTCTCCTTCACGTTCGGATCGCCCATTCCCTCCAGGATGGCGACGAACGTCCTATGTAGTGCGATCGGCCCCTCGACGCCATCGTACTTGGCTTCACGGTTCGGCTCGCCCATTCCCTCCAGGATGGCGACGACCGTCTTATGCGGCACGATCGGCTTCTCAGCGCCATCGTGTCTCTTTCACGTTCGGATCGCCCCATTCCCTCCAGGATGGCGACGAACGTCTTATGCAGTACGATCGGCCCCTCAGCGCCATCGTACCCAGGTCACGGTTCGGCTCGCCCATTCCCTTTAGGATGGCGACGACCGTCTTATGTGGTACGATCGGCCCCTCAGCGCCATCGTACCCAGCTCACATTCAGCTCGTCCATCCCCTCCAGGGTGGCGACGAACGTCTTATGCATCACGATCGGCTTCTCAGCGCCATCGTGTCTCTTTCACATTAGGGTCGCCCATCCCTTCCAGGATGGCGACGAACGTCTCTTATGCAGCACGATCAGCGCCCCAGCGCCATCGTGTCTGGCTCACGTTAGGGTCGCCCATCCCTTTCAGGATGGCGACGAACGTCTCTTATGCAGCACGATCAGCGCCCCAGCGCCATCGTGTCTGGCTCACGTTAGGGTCGCCCATCCCTTCCAGGATGGCGACGAACGTCTCTTATGCAGCACGATCAGCGCCCCAGCGCCATCGTGTCTGGCTCACGTTAGGGTCGCCCATCCCTTTCAGGATGGCGACGAACGTCTCTTATGCAGCACGATCAGCGCCCCAGCGCCATCGTGTCTGGCTCACGTTAGGGTCGCCCATCCCTTTCAGGATGGCGACGAACGTCTCTTATGCAGCACGATCAGCGCCCCAGCGCCATCGTGTCTGGCTCACGTTAGGGTCGCCCATCCCTTCCAGGATGGCGACGAACGTCTCTTATGCAGCACGATCAGCGCCCCAGCGCCATCGTGTCTGGCTCACGTTAGGGTCGCCCCATCCCTTTCAGGATGGCGACGAACGTCTCTTATGCAGCACGATCAGCGCCCCAGCGCCATCGTGTCTGGCTCACGTTAGGGTCGCCCATCCCCTTCAGGATGGCGACGAACGTCTCTTATGCAGCACGTCTGCCCCTCGGCGCTGACATGCCCGGTTTATCGATGAGAGTCACCGCTTTCTATCACATCTCACATTCCTTCTCTCATACATTGCACTCATACATTACATGTATTCATGCATTCATGCATCATACCTCATACATTCATACATACACACGTGCATCATGTTTTGACAGTACCGCGACGTCGGTTTGTAAATGCATGGACCTCTAAGCTTCTCCGATTGGAAGCTCGAGTCAGGGTCCTCTACTCTCGCCTGATGCATTCAGGGGGAGCGTGCCCGTGGAGGAGCACCTTTCGCCCAACCCCGTCGGGAAGGGGGGTGCCTCACCGGCAGATTACGTTCAGGAGTGCAAACAATCACTCATATATTATGATTATGTGAAGACACAGTTTCCAGCAAGACAGAGGAAGAGCGCAGGCAGAGTATATTTTCTCGAGCAGATTCGCGAGCTCACTACTCAAGAAACTGGGGGACTTGTGTTGGGATATATTATCCCGGCCTATTACTGTTCAGGAGCCCAAGACTTTACGTAGTACGGAGCCCAATCAGTAAGGCCCATTTTAGCCTATCAGGCCTGTTTCGGCCTTTGGGCCCATTTTGGCCCATTCGGCCCGTTAGGGTGGAGAGCCCCCTTTCCCCCTATTCCCTATAAATAGGAGGTTTCCCTCCATGTAAAAGGATCCTTTTCTTCTTCCTCCTTCTCACTAGAATAGCTTAGAACTCCATTAATGGGAGCTTCAATACTTGTACTATGTAATGGTGAGGAGAGTCTAATGAGAATTGAGAGGGCTTGGACATTAGCCTAAAAAGTCCCGTGGTTTTCTCCCTTTCGGGTTTCCACGTAAAAACTGAGCTTGTTCATACACATTTATACATATATTTACTATATCGTGTTGGATTAAACTCAACAAAGGGAAAGGAGAACAAATGAAAAAACGTCTCAAAAAGGAAAGAAGGACTAATAAAAAAACGGGAAGAATATATAAAAGTGTGTATTTGATAAATTAACTAGGTAGTACTCCGTATTGTATTAGCAAGTCAACAATTTTACGCTATACAACAGTCAACAAGGGGATCCTGGCACACCAAAGTGACCAATCCATACAACTACGTTGTTCTTCACATAGAACCCCTTCTGGTAATACTAATTTGATTGAATCTGATAAAATTAGATTAAAATGAAAAAATAGCTAAAATAATCCTCTACACAAGTTCAATCAATTCAGTTTGAAAAATAACTCTAACCTTATGTTTTTTAATTTTACACAATTCAAAGCAAAAAAATAAAAGTTATGTATTTGAAAAAAGATCTTACTGCAAAAACTGATAAGTGAAGAATAGAGTCACCAAATGGCTCTAGATTCATTGTGTCATTTTGTGTGGTAAAACTGTTTCAAGACATGCAATAGGATCTTTTGTGATGTCATTTTTTAAGCCACTTGATGAATTTGGGGTGTTTGGGACTGATTCTGATTCTTCTTCTTTTTAAAAGTAGAAGCAGAATCAGTTTTTAGAAGCTAGTCTCCCCCAGCTTCTAAAAACTGATTCTAAGAGTAAATTAGAGTATCAGAATCACTTATTTACTTTCACCCAAACACTCCAACTTCTGTTTCTGCTCTCTGAAGGAGTAGAAGCAGTTTCAAGAATCACATCCAAACACCCCTTTGTTAATTAATTTATCTCCTACGAAAAGACAAGGGAAAATGGCATATTAGGTCCTTCGCTTATGAAAAGTAGTAGATTTAGTCCAGGCATTAAAGTCAACCCTTCTTTAGTAATGTGGTGTCTTTACTTTTTTTTTTTTTGGATGAAATGTAAATATATATTAACACCCAGAAAATTATACATCAAGTGTCCTAGATCTCCTAAAACCCTCCACCCCCACATAAAGTGGGGGGTGAAAGGAGGTTTTTTCTCGATCTAATCCACATAAAAAAAGGACAAGTATGAAACTTGTCCAAATAAAAAAAGAGCATAAACATCAGTGCTGCCTAAGCGCACACACAGATCGGAGGCTAAAAAAACCCAACAAAAATACATAGGTGTTGTAAAAAACAAACACCTAAAAAATCGACGACCCTGCTTCATGCCGCGGCATCCAAGATGTCCATGCCACGGTGTCCAAGTGTCTAAGCCGCGGCATCCAAAATATCCATGCCTCGGCCAATATAATCCATCATGTAGCAATCGGTCAAAACCACGGCATCCATAATATCCATACCGCGGGCTTCTACTCAAAAAGTGATCAAGTCATGTGGATATATATTGAATAGTATTTTATATACCACATGCTTGATTTTTGCAATGATCTCCTCTTCCTTGACGTCCTTCTCATCAAATATGTTTGCGTTCCTAGCGTGCCATAGGTAGTAAACCGCGGCACTGAAGGCAATCCGGACAGCTTTCCCTTTGATTTTTGATCCTTTGTGGTCTTTTAGAATCCATTTGACCGAGCTATGCATCGTGGTCATCTCTCGAGTCATGCCCAACCATCCTTTAATCGCGTCCCAAACCCAAGTGTAATGACATCGAAAGAATAGGTGTGGAATTGTTTCCAATCCACCCTTACAAAGGTCACACCGGTTAACAATATGTAGGTAACCGAGGTTATTCTGGGTAGGTAACCGGTTCCTCAAAGCAAGCCATACATTGAAAGAGAACTTAGGAGGAATATAAGACTTCCAAATGAAGCTCATCCACACTCTTGGTGTCCCTTTAGTTCTCAACAACTCATAAATCTTACCGGAAAGTAGTTTGCCATTCTCAGTTCTTGCACCAAGACCCAGAATTGTATCATTCAAATTGTTAAAACAACCTTTTATTTGGTCCCGGATGTGACTCAATTTCTTCATGAACACTGAGTCACGATTGTGTGGGATAAAATCCCACACACTCCTACCCTGAAGGTAGATCCCATTAACCCACCTTACCCAAAGTGTATCCTTCTTCCTATGGACGTCCCAAAGTGTTCGAGCAAGGAGAGCATGGTTCCAAACCCTAGCGTTATGGATGCCGAGCCCCCCCTCCTCTTTTGGTAGACAAATGTCATCCCATGCCACTTTAGAGAACTTCCCACCCCATAAGAAGACTCTACAAATAGAGACTATCCTATCCAAGATAGTTTGAGGGACCGAAAACACTTGTAGCCAAAAAGATTGGACCCCTTGGATCACCGATCTAATCAACTCAAGTTTCCCGGCATAGGATAAGGTCTTCGTATTCCAAGCTTTCAAGAAATCCGAAATGGTAGAAATCAAAGGCGCATATTGAGCTACCGATACCTTTAATGGAGCAAGTGGTATCCCAAGGTACTTTACCGGGAACGTCCCACGCCCAAAGTCCACAAGGGTCATGATCTCATCAAGATCCATATCATTAACACCCCCCACAAAAATGTTAGATTTATTATGGTTAACCCTTAGGCCCGATGCATCTCCAAACTCCCTAAGGGCATTGACAAGTATTTCAATAGAATATGTGTCACCCCGTGAGAAGAGTATAAGGTCATCCGCATAGGCCAAGTGGGTTATGCCAAGCTTGGCACAATGGGGGTGAAAATTGAAGTTCGGCCCTTTGGTTTTTAAATTAATCAAACGGGAAAAATACTCCAGACAAAGGACAAAAAGAAGCGGAGACATTGGATCTCCTTGGCGAATACCTCTTTTGCCCTTAAAGTACCCATACAAACAACCATTCAAAGACACGGAAAATGAAGCCGTGGTTACGCACTCCATAATCCAACCGATAAATCTAGCGGGGAAGCCCAAACCCCTTAAAACCTCATCAAGAAATTCCCAAGAGATAGTATCATATGCCTTTCGCAAATCCACCTTGATCATACATCTCGGTGAGATTCGCTTCCTCGTGTATCCTCTAACAAGTTCTTGGGCAAGAAAAATGTTATCAAACATGAGGCGGCCATCCACAAAAGCACCTTGGGCTAGGTCAATCAAGCCGGGGAGGCATGGAATGAGTCTAGCTGCAAGGATTTTCGTAATTATTTTGTATAAAACATTCGTGCAAGAAATCGGTCTATAGTCCGAGACCTTCGGTGAGTGGTTCGTTTTTGGGATAAGAGCAATAACCGTGTGGTTTATTTGCAATAATTATGTGGTGTCTTTACTAATTTGAAGTCTTGAAAGATAATTAATTGCATGATCACATAAAATTCTATCAACATAATTTATCTTTAATTTCACTAGTATTCTCACCCGTGCGATGCACGGTTGTAAGAAATAATCTTGTATTATTAATTAAAATTATTGAAATCCAAAATGACACTTCAAATATTTTACAATGACCACTTCAAAGACAAAAATCATGTTATTCCACATGAGAAATTTTAAATCTTTTGAAACACTTATAAACAATGTTTGTTGTCTCATTTAAAAACAATATTATTGTTTAACTGACTCATTTAAACCAAAACATGACCAGTTACTTTTAAATTAAGGAAACCTCATTTCAACCTCAACCCAACAGCTTCACAACATTTTATTCCACTTAATCGTTAGCTCCATTTCATTCACCAGTATACTGTATACTCTGTAATAGTAGTTTATTTAAGTACCCTTTGATTTTGTTTGATTTTCTGTCATCAGCTTAAAACAGTGTTTCTATTTGATCATGAAATCATGTGAATTATTTTTATAATTTAATATTGGGTCTTCAAATAATGATTTTTCAAAGAAATGACACAAAATTATGCCCTATCAAAGTATCAATCACTAATAGATTTACTCTTTTTTTAATCTAAAAACTTAGTAAACCACAAAAAAATACTCTCTCTAGTTCAAAATAAACTCTAGACTTATATTTTAAGTAACTTTTTATAATAATAGCAAACTACAAAAAATAATAATACTTTCTCTAGTTCAAAATAAATTTCACATTTCTATTTTTGGTAACTTTTTATAATAAAGTTACTCTTATACATACTCTTACTTTATTACCTACTTTACACCCACTTTTTCTCTCCCACCCCACTTTATCTACTTTTTGTAAGAATATGATGAGATAGTCAAACAAACAAAATTCTCACTATTAAAAATCATAAAATCAAACTGTGAAGTTTATATAGAACTGGAGGGAGTATCATTACTCCGTATTTATTTAACTCCAAAAACATTTGAATAAAAATTTATAGTTTCAATCTACAATCCATCGATGACATCAACTATTGAATAATTAATTATTGATTTAGAAGGATTAGTTTGAACTAATTAGTTTGAACAATTAATCATTACTCACTTTGAACTAATTGTAGCAATAGATTGGATACAACGTTCGAACATTAAATAAATTGATTAGATAGATTTTATTGAATTTATTAAATAAAGTACAATGAACAATGCAAAATTAAAAGTAGATATATATTTTATAATTTAGTAAGAGTTAACAACGTGCATAAATTAATTATACACATGTGAGTTACAATGATGTGTAAAAAAGTATTAATAATTCGAGTATAATTCTATTATACTACTCCTATCCATAACATTCTAAAAGCACATAATTGCTTGATTCAAAACTACATCCAACTCTAATATTTTACATTCCAAATCACAAAATGAACGGCCGGTCATAGAACATTCAAGAACTTTATATGAAGCCAAAGCAATTCTCTTGTAGAACCAAGTGAGTTCCCAACAAATCTGATCACCGATTTACCTGTACAACACACAAAAAATGAGTTAAACTTAAGTTAAATTATTATTGTTTGCATAGTTAAATGAAAATTAAATATTAAATACTAAAATTAGAATATGAAAAATTGAAATGTACAAATGAAGAATTAAGAAAAATAAACTTCCAAAATCTACCTAATTTTTTTTTATAAACTCCGGTTTCGAAAAACTTCTTTAAGCAAAATAACTACTTTACTAATACCAACACCATCAAATTAATTATTTCATGTAATATTTATCAATTACAACGCATCTTTAGAATACAATATGTCTATATCAATACAATGATATTGGCCCAAAAAAATTTATATCGTAGGTATAAATTGGCAAAAATAATACACCCTATTATCTTTGCATGTGTGCCACCTTAGGCTTTGTTTGCAAACTCTACAAAAAAACACTTCCCAGCTTTTGGCTTAAAAAAGCACTTATTTTATCAAACACTACCAACTTTTACTTTTCTTGACTTTCGTGTGAAAAATGGTTTAACTCTTTCTATTACATATAAACACTTATTTTACCAAGCACTATCAACTTTTACTATAAATCACTTTTTCCAAAAAGTGCTTTTAGACGGTTAGGTTTATTTTAGCCCAATGAAACATAAAAGTCAGAGTCTCACATATCGGTGGCGGGCGGTGAAGAGTTTCGAGTTCGGACTTCGGACGGTAGGCGTCAAGGGGACTCAGAGTTCGGAATTTAGCTCCGGTCAGGGCCGTTTTTGGGCAGGTTCATTAGGTGCGGTGGAACAGGGCCTACCAAAAATGAGGGCCCCAAAATTTTTTAATTTTAGTATTAGTATATAGTTATGTTTTATAATTGTATTTTAATATATTATAATAGTCCGTATTAATTATTATTCCACAAAAGCAAAACTTGAACGGCCAAACCTGGGACTCCTTACGCGGACAAGCCTCTCAAGCAGCGCAGCCGCCAGCCAACCCTATCTCAAAATTAAAAAAAAAAAAAAAAAAAACTCCTCGCTCAACTCATCGACTCATCGTCTTCCTCACAACTCACAAGTCCGCGCTGCTCTTGCCCGTGCTTTGCGAGTTTGCGCCTCCACCAGTCCGGCAGTTCCGTAGTCTAGCAGTCCACCTAGTACGCAGGTAATTAACAATTATTCTGATCTGATTGATTTGTGATAAATTGTAAAATAAAATTGATAATACGAAATTCCCAAATTTTAAATGTATGTGCGGTAGTGGCGTAGTGTCCAACAGCCTATTGCATAATGCAGTTTTGCCTAAGTGCGTAAGTGGCTTTAATTTATGAAATTTGATTTCAGAATTTTAGGTGTTCGATTTTTTTATTGTTGACTAAAGTCTTCAAATTTTCACTTCGTTCAGGTTGCGTGATTTCAGCCATCAACAGGCCTAGCTATCAATTTGTCTTTTAAAGCTTTATAGCCTGATCATTGATACTAACTATACAAACGGCCAATTTTCGCTTGTGCTCAGGTGATATTGTTCTTGTTTGAAACACCTTCTTATTCTTCATGTCTTCAAGAATTAGAAAGTATGAATCGGGGCATGATAAACGAATGAGAAAAAAGAGATTGGATGCAGTAACCGAGTCTCAAAGAGGAGCTCTAGATAAATTTATGATAAAAAATGCTAGTGTTAATGGAAGTGCCACCGTAGACTCTAGCCCAAATCTAGATGGTGATTTGCCTATTGAGAAAGACCAAGAAAGTGATGATCTATCTAATAAGGATGTTGTTAGGGAAGGAGATGAGAATATTAGTGATCCGCCAGATACGACTCCAAGTGATATTGAAAATCATGAACAACCTAATATTGGAGAAACTTTTAGAATCAATATATTTGATCCTCGAAATTGGGATGCTCTAAGTGCAAATATGATTGATATCTTAGTTGAGAAAGGATTGAAAAGAGACATGTGTATTGAGAGTTATCCAAGAGATAAATTTAACAGATGTTTTTCTTGCTCATATTATACAAGAGTGTTATCAAATGGAGAGAAATATGATCGAGATTGGCTTGTATATTCAAGAGAGCTTGATAGAATCTTTTGCTTTTGTCGTAAAGTGTTTCATAAAGGTTCTTCAAGGAGAGGACAACTAGCATTAGAAGGGTTTAATGATTGGATACATCTTTCAATTAGGATTAGAGAGCATGAAATAAGTGCTGAGCATATTAAAAATATGGCCACTTGGTATGATTTGCAATGGAGGCTTAAACATAATCAAACAATTGATAAGATGAGTCAAGGATTGATTAAAAAGGAAAGGGATCACTGGAGCAATGTGTTGTTGAGAATTATTTCAATTGTCAAGTTTTTGGCAAAACATAATTTAGCTTTCCGAGGTAGTAATGGACGGTTGTATGAAGGCAATAATGGAAACTTTTTAGGTTTGGTTGAAATGCTAGCAGAGTTTGATCCTATAATTCAAGAGCATGTTAGGAGGATCACAAATGATGACCTTTATTTTCATTATCTTGGTCATGCTATTCAAAATGAATTGATACTTTTGCTTGCCTCTAAAATTAAGTGTGAAATAATTCGAAAAATTAAACAAGTAAAGTACTTTTCAGTGATACTTGATTGTACTCCAGACACTAGCCACCAAGAACAAATGTCTATTATATTGAGATATGTGGATGTCTCTTCCGATGATGTTAGCATTGAGGAATCATTTTTAGGATTTTTGAATGTTGATGACACAACTGGGCAAGGACTTTTTGAGTCCTTACAAGATGAATTAAAAAAATTAAATCTTGATATAGATGATGTAAGAGGTCAGGGATATGACAATGGATCAAACATGAAAGGAAAACACCAAGGAGTTCAAAAGAAATTGTTGGACATAAATCCAAGAGCTTTTTATGCAGCATGTGGGTGTCATAGTCTTAATTTGATTTTATGTGACATGGCTAACACTTGTGGAAAGGCTAGGGATTTTTTTGGAATTGTTCAACGCATTTACACAATTTTTGTGAATTCAACCAAAAGATGGCAGATTTTGAAAGACCATGTAAAGGGATTAACTTTGAAATCATTATCGGCCACCCGTTGGGAGAGTCGCATTGATAGTGTGAAAGCTATAAGGTTCCAAATTGGAGACATTCGTGAAGCTTTACTTGAGATATCTGAAAAAGATAGTGATTCTAAAATAAGCAGTGAAGCTAAGTCATTAGCGTTGCATGAACTGAGTAATTTTGAGTTCTTAGTGGCACTAGTTATTTGGTATGAAATCATATATCATGTCAATTTGGTGAGTAAGAGTTTGCAATCAGAGAGCATGCTTATAGATGTTGCTATTCAAGAGATAAAGAAGTTGATAATTTTTTTTGAGGGGTATCGAGAAAGTGGTTATGAAAATGCTATAGAAGAAGCAAAAACAATTGCCATTGAGCTTGATATTGATCCAATTTTCCCTCAAAGGAGAGCCATTCGAAGAAAGAAACAGTTTGATGAGAGTCGAGATAACTATTCAGAAGTTGTTAACCTATCTGCTAATGAGTCATTTAGACTTAATTACTTTTTATATATTGTTGATCAAGCTACTGTTTCATTGAGAAGGAGGTTTGAACAATATCAGGACTTTGAGAATGTTTTTGGCTTTTTATTTACTTCTCAGAAATTGAATGCATTAGAAGATGCACAATTGAAGGCGTGTTGTTCTCATCTTGAAGGTGCTCTTAAGAAAGATGAACGGTCTGATGTTGATGGAGATGATTTGTATATGGAATTGAAACTTCTTAGAGAATTCTTACCGGAGAAAAAGATGGGACCTATTGATCTCTTCAAATTTTTGAAGCGTTACACTTGTTTTCCTAATGTGATAATTGCATACAGAGTAATGCTGACTATCCCTGTGACTGTGGCTAGTGCGGAAAGAAGTTTCTCCAAGCTTAAATTGTTGAAATCTTATTTGCGGTCTACAATGTCACAAGAGAGACTCAACGGTTTGGCAATGATAGCAATTGAGAATGACTATTTGGAGAAGATTGAGTGCAAGGACTTGATTGATGATTTTGCTTCAAAGACGGCAAGGCGGACTGCTTTATTCAAGAGATAGTGTTATAATTATATCTAGTTATTTTAAATTATGTCTTTTTCTATTTGAACACTTGAACAATTAATTTTATTGAATTTTGTGAGTTTGTTATTACATGTGATTTAATTTTTATTCATATACGAGGCCTAAATTTTGCATTGGAACCGGGGCCTCTAAATCCATGTGACGGCCCTGGCTCCGGTCAAGGAAACCGGCGACGGCGGTCATCTTCTTTCATCAAACTTACCAGAAACCTTCTTTTCCATTCACCTAGAGCTAAAATTGAAGGCCACGACCTGCCAAACACTCGAAGAGGAAAGTTATAGAATTGAAATTATCAACTTCATTCTAGATCAAATGGACAAATGACATTCAATTATTCAACGTTCGTGGTTTGATGAGCTTAATATAGGCGTATTCAATAAAGAAAAGTCATCAGAAAACTATTGTATATCATCGGTGTATATCATCGGTGAGAAAGTGATTGCCATAACAATATAACATGCATGCCGCTATTTATTATGGAGTATTGCTTAGTCCCATTGGTAATTGATGCTCTGGAGTATTATTCATTATTACTTTGAGAAACGTGAACTTTGAGAAACGTAAATTTGCTTGGTTGCTTTTTATTTTCTGTTGAATAAAAAACGAATAGAAAAGAAAACACCGGAATTCAAAGAGTTTCAAATATTAGCCACATATGTACATCGAAAAACCAATAGCTTCGACACGCAAGGAACAAAATATTAAATGTAGGAGAGGAACGTTTCTTCTAAAACTTTCCTTGCCAAGAAAATTACACCAGCACATTGATCCATAAATAACTTTTGGCGGGAACTTGCTCCTCAAGAAACCTTTTGTTATTATATTAAGATAGATTCAATTTTAGGTCTTAGATGGATAAATTTTAATTATTGGACCATATATCAAAACTCTTTATCTTTTAGGACCTTATTGATAGTGAATACGGAGTATATGTTTGAGGTCCTGAATTGATAAGTTTTTTATGTCAATATATAATTTTTTAATTTGTTCATAATATCAAATCCTAAATTAATGAAAATATTCACTATTTTAAAAATTGTTGTGTGGACTCATTCATATATTTTTTTTTCGATAATATGTAAGTATATTAAAACCGAAAAATAGCATTTTACAATGCATCAAATCCAAATCAAAATGACTATCTAAGCTAGAATAATCTAACCTAGATATAATGCATCAAAATAATGGGACAGTCCCCACTTCACAAATCACTAATTAAAGATATTAGGTTTCCCTAATTTAACAACCAAGGAAAAATCGGAAAGGTTTAGTGAACTTTGGATCAAAGCGAACCTCCCCTTTCTTCTTTGTAACACCCGGTAAGCCCTCAAGACATTCATCGGTAAAAGTGAGACCCTTTCTATCCAAATCATCCGTAAGTCGAAGGAAATTGTCCACTCGAATCACATTAGCATGCACGGATTTAAACGGTTTGACAACCAACTTGAGTGTCTTGCCGTTTATCACCTCACATTTTATAACTACATCATCTAGCTTCACATCCTTTTTATCCATGACTATCCTCTCGCCATCATCCAAAGAAGGTCTCTGTTCAGCCAGTTTAATCGCGGCAGATGCATCCTGGACAGTTTTCTGCGCTGAGGACCCGATCGGGTCCTTCACACACCCGGGGGGGTGAGGAGCCTGCAACTGAATTTCGGTCGGGCCAGGGGCAGCCCCGGTCGAGTCAGACCCCTGGGCGGCAGGTTGTGGCCTAGTTGACCCCTTCTCTAAATTTTCATCTTTTTCCCTTCTCCGTTCTAAATCAGTTTCCTTATCCTCCCGTTTTGCTAGTTTCTTACAAATAAATGGGTGATGCCCATATTCTTTGCAATGAAAGCAAAAGTTAGGGAAAGTTTCATAAACCACAAATTGTTTGATTACCTTACGGGAAGGTAGTCGAATAGGGAAGTGAAGCGGTGGTGGCTTTGAAACATCAACCTCAATAAGAACTCTAGCATAGTCATTGTTTGCCCTTTCTTGAGTGATTTTATCTGTGGTTAATGGGGCCCCGACCATTGATGCCACCTCACTCATAGCCTCATCATTCCATAAACTCATCGGTAGTTTAGGGAACTTGACCCAAATTGGAATTTTTAGAAATTCCTCATCCTCAAAAGTGAAGTCCTCCGATAGTTCTTTAAGCATTAATTGCTTACCGAAGACGGTGTAGGGTCCTTCATGTAGTACTTTGGATCTATCCTCTTCATTTTGGAATTTAAAAATTATCCAACCCTTGTTATGAGATCTTACTAGGCTTTTGACTCCCCATGTAGCTTTTAAGTCATGAACCGCTTTGAGTCCGGGGAAATTGCCGGTGAAATGTCCCACTAGACAATAACCCCACATTTCAACCATTGAGGGTAGTATGCGGTCACCAAAGTCCAGTATCTCGCCTTTAGGTGGAACATATCTCAGCTTAATCCCATTTTTTGGATCCCGGTTATCCTTGAACAGAGAGTTCCATTTAGTTACTGCCAGTGTTGAAACCACATTCCCGGATGCAGGACCCCCAGCAGTTGATGTCTCTGCAACAGCTTCAGTAGACTTTAAAACATTCTTTAAAGGTCCAGTAGCCTTAAATGTCATAGCATTAATCTGTTTAGTCCCAGGAGATGGCACCAGTGTGTTCGCAGGTACCACTATAGCAGTGGTATCAGTGTTTTCGCAGGCTGAAACACCAGAACCGGAGCTCAGACCTGCTGATTTCGAGGCAGATTTAGCAAGCTCAGGGAACTCTTCATCAAGGTTATTCAATACCTCAAAGCCTGCTGCTTTGGACCTGGTAAGCCTGGGCGTAGCCTCCCCCTTCCCTGCCTTCTTTTTGTTCATCCTACAGGGTGAAAAACCGAAGCCAGAAAGTAGAGCCTGATACGAAGACGACCTGGTAAAATCAAGTTTCAGTCTCCATAGTCAGCACAGTTCCAAATCAGGTCGCCGATGAATAGTTCCACGAACTTCAATTCCACGTTTCACGACTCAAGTGCACCTGAAAACGGGTGTTGAGTATCGACGAGAGATGCCAAGTTCCAGTGCTGTCTCAGTTTTCAGAATCGATCTGGAAATTCCACGTTTCAAGGGGAAACCTTTGACGAACCGTGAACAGTGTTTCGCGATTAGGAGTGAAATCCGACCTTCCAAGCTCAAATCCAGGAACGGATTTTACTTTAAGGATGGATTACGACTAAGAACAGCAGCAAACAACAAAAATCAAACATGAAATTTTAAGAATCGAGCACAAATCCATGGAACCGGGTCACGTAACCCAGGAGAGAAGCAGCTCTCAACTTTTTCGGACTCATTCATATATTCATGACACACAAGAGTGAGTTTCTAAATTTTAATTTTCACGGCGTTTAATCATGCATTTTGAATGTTTTAAATGAAAATTAGCACATTATTTAATGTTTATTATTGCTTTTATATTTTACATGTCATTATTTTTAATTTCACCCCGGTCATGTCCAGGCTCCGCCCCTGCTCAACAATTAAAATGCTTTGCCATGAGGTAGTATGTGTCCAGTCTCCTAACCTTCATATACCTTATGTTACGGGGGATTATGTAGTTGAAGAGGTGGACATGATTCTTAGAGCAAGAGAAGAATGTATGAACATGCTCAAGTTTCTATTAGAAGGACCTAAAACCGCATGAAAATTCAAACGGACAAACACAGAAGTAACAAGAAATAATTCTCCAACAATGACATCGACAACAATATGTGAGCTAAATGACTAATCAAAAGTTATTAGTCCTTTGAGACCCTAACTCGAATTATATTAGGAGTGTTGCATACAAACTAAACTTACCACATCAATCTAAAATACATCCAGTGTTTCACACGTCTTAGTTGAAGCAACATTATGGCCACTAATGTTGCTCACTACCCATTATGGATGAGGATGGACAACTCAGGAATGAACTCATGACGATCTTGGACATGAAGATAGTTAAAATAGGTAATACATTAGCAGTCTACTAATTAGTCTAATGGTCTAATAGTGAAAAGGAAGATGTTAGAGGCTTAGAGCTTTGAAGACTTCATTGAGAGTTTTTCTAATTTTTCGGAGAATGCAATTACTATTTGACAAGCTGAAAAGAAAGCGTAGGCATTGCTATGCATCTCGAGTTGAGCTGGCTACTTACAAAGCAAACAAACAATAAGGAAGAAAGAAGGCAACACCATCTTAGTAGTTTGAAGAGTTAGTTATCAGAACAATACTGCGTAATTAAGTTGCCTACTCGATTGTACTGTATGTAATTTGATTGTGAGTGTAATAAGAACTATTTGAAATAAGAGTTATGCTAAAAATGCATTTCACTCTTATAAAAAGTCTTAAAAAGAAGGTTTCCGATTGCATCATACGTAGTACTCCCTCCTGAAGAATTCAATTCCTAATTTCCCTGAAGTTTCCTCCATGTGCAAGAATGACAAAGGGATCTTCCATACACCTAGGAGTGACCTTCCTTCCAACCACCATTGAAGCTTCCTTCCACCTTCATAGTACCTAGTTTTGGTGCTATAAATAGAGAGCTTGGAGAGTCTTTCTATCATCAAGTAAATTAGAATAGATCATCATAGCACAACCAAGAAGAGTTGTGAATATCCTTGAGAGATATGTGAGGTGTTTTGAGAGTTTTTTAGTTAGAGCTTGTATGTCTCTTCTTTCTATTCTTGAAAGTAATAGAAGTGTTTTTCTCTCATATTAGCACAATCCTGTTATTCCCAACACCTCCGTCCCATTATTAACTCCTTATTTGACCAGGCACACAAATGGAGAGTTATGCAGCGGAGAGAGAAATGTGTAAGAATGAGTAAAAATGATTGTGAACCACAAATTCTTTGTCAACAAGGAAAGAAGAGATAAATTTGTAACGGATCGAAATGGAAAAAATGAAGATAATTATGGGGCGGAGGGAGTATTGTTTAACACACTCAGGTGCCACAAGGGGTAAGTCTCGGGTTCGAATCCCGACAACTGCGATGATAGATTACTATGCTAAAAATGCATAGAGCCTCTGCAACTACCAGTGTCAATCTCACTTTATATGTGTCTGATTAAAGTCTAACTTATATCCTTCCAACTATTCGGTCGGTTCTCAAGAATAGAGTGTCATCCTTATTTGTTTAAGACACTCATCACTATCCTTATTTGTTTAACACACTCATCACTTTAAATCAATAGTGATTGGAATAGTCACTTTCTTGAAATAAGTTAATTTGTACAACTGTACTTCATTTTCGTTCGTTGAAATAAAACTAACATCTTCCACTAAGGGGTGTTTGGATCTAATTCTCAAAACTGTTTCTGCTCCTTCAGGGAGCAGAAGCAGAAGCTGGAGTGTTTGGGTGAAATTCCAGAAGCACTTCTGGAGCTCTAATTTACTCTCAGAATCAGTTTTTTAGAAGCTGGGAGGTACCAGCTTCTGAAAACTGATTCTGATTCTGTTTCTGCTTTTAAAAAAGAAGCAGAAGCAGAATCAGTTCCAAACACCCCTAAACGTCTCATATTTTCTATACTATGTTGCCTAAATATTGTTGAATTCCTACTTTTTTTAGTGTAAAATCTTCCGGTTAAATCCCGGAGATGATATCAAATCCATATGTTAGAAATTGGTGTAATGGTGAAGTGAAATTTTAAGAATGCTCAAGAAGACATCATCCTTCTTGAATAGACGTGCTATTGAACAACATTTTCTTTCTTCCATCCGGAGTATCCCCGCATGTATTTACCGTCAACTGCAAACTTTGTCCTCCTCCCCGCCAAATGTGACAATTCTCGAAGCTCTATGCACAGATGGTAACCTAACAGAAGCCTTGTTTGAGATGGGCAAGCGAGGAATAGAAATGGTTTTCAAGGATTATAATATCCTGCTTAACGAATGTATAAATCAAAGGGCAATTAGAGAAGGCCAGAGGCTTCACTCCCACATAATCAAGACCCTTTACCGCCCTCCCGTTTTTCTTAGGACAAGGTTAATCGTTTTCTATGTGAAGTGCGAGATGCTGGGTGACGCTAAAAGGGTGTTTGATGAAATGCCTGAGAGGAATGTTGTGGCTTGGACTGCAATGATATCTGCATATGCCCAGAGAGGGTACTTTTTGGAAGCTCTTAATCTTTTTGTTCAGATGTTGAGATCAGGTAATTTCTTATCAGATTACACTGCGCGCATAAGTGAAAATTCAAGTGAGCGAGCTCAAGTAATCACATTTGATTGAGTTCCATTGGCATGAGTCTGTCTGTGTATGCATTGGTGTAAGAAATGCTGTTTTTCAGAAAGTTCAAAGTTATGCAAGAAATGTATTTTTCGTTTTGAAGGGGTAAGCACCAAAAATTATAAGATGCAAGACTAAGCCCCCGTTTTGTAGCCATTTTGTGGCTTATTCGGCTTATCGGCAAAATAATATGTAGATTTTGAGTTCATTGGCAAAGTGGAAAACACTTTTCCTTTAATAAAATTCAATTATTTCAGTTAAACAACCTACTAAACAGGACCTAATTGATCATTTTTATCAATGGGATTTTACCTCTTACAAAAATGTTGGCCTTAATTCGCAACAAGTAGTTGTTTGCATGGCTATTAGTTGTTTGGAATTAGCTGTGTATTGAGGAAGCGGTCCAGCCCAGCTGGTCGCCGACTCACTCTCTTATGGGAGGTCCCGGGTTCAATTCTCAATGGAGTGAGATTAATCCCAGTTTACCCCAGGCCCCCCCAACGCCCCTCCCCCTGACACCCCCTGGGGTAAAAAAAAGGAATTAGCTGTGTATTTTAGTAGGTATTTGAGTGTATATAATGTGAAACAAGAAATTTTAAAAAGAAAATTCCCAAGTTAGAAGCTTTTTTAAAATGTGCATTTGATGTACTGATAATAGGCTCATTACAAAACACTAAATGAGCTGGTTCACAAGATCAAATTGCTCATTGACATCGAAAATTCTAGAAACCTTGGAAAAATCCCTCTATCAAACAAGGCCATTCATTTGTGCATGTACCTTGACTTTAAATGTGATGAAGAAATTACTACTGCAGGAACCCAGCCAAACGAGTTTACATTCGCAACAGTGCTCACATCTTGTGTTGGAACCTCTGGACTCAACTTCGGACAACAAATCCACGGGTTATTGATCCAGAGTGCATTTGAGTCCCATCTCTATGTTGGAAGTTCACTTCTTGACATGTACGCCAAATCTGGTAGTATACCTGAAGCTCGTCTTGTGTTTGAATGTCTACCGGAAAGGGACATTGTTTCATGCGCTGCCATAATTTCAGGATGTGTCCAACAGGGCCACTTTGAGGATGCTATTGAGATATTCCGTAGATTACAGAGAGAAGGAATGACGTCAAACTATGTTACTTATACAAGCCTCGTAAACGCATCATCTGGACTTGCTGCAGTGGAACATGGCAGACAAGTTCATGGCTATGTCATTAGAAATGAATTGCTCTCTCATGTAATTCTTCAAAATTCTTTAATTGATATGTACTCCAAGTGTGGAAACCTCACCTACTCGAGGAGCATATTTGACAGAATGTCTGAAAGAACCGTGAGCAGTTGGAATGCCATGCTTGTTGGTTACAGTAAGCACGGAATGGGAAGGGAGACAGTTGACCTTTTCGAAAAAATGAGGAACGAAAACGTAACTAAACCGGACAGCGTCACGTTTCTGGCAGTATTGACGGGTTGCAGTCACGGTGGAATGGAGGAGAAAGGTCTTGAGATCTTCAACGAGATGGTCAACGGGGAAAATGAGGGTGATGTTTGGATGGAGCACTATGGATGCATTGTGGATATGCTGGGACGGTCGGGTCGGGTAGAACAGGCTTATAAATTTGTTCAGGAGATGCCTTTCAAACCAAACGCTTCGATTTTGGGCTCTCTTTTGGGCGCATGTAGGTTTCACGTGAAACCCGAAATTGGCGAGATCATAGGAAACCGACTCATGGAAATAGAGCCAGAATGTGGCGGGAACTATGTTATCCTCTCCAACATATATGCATCCGCGGGAAGGTGGGGAGATGCAAAGAGGGTGAGGAAGATGATGCGAGAGAAGTTGGTGATGAAGGAGCCAGGAGTGAGCTGGGTTGAGTGAAAATGTGTTAAGCCGTGGTTGCGGAAGCAGGCTTTATTTGTGGCTTTATTGGACATTCAGATAATTTTTGTCCCTTAAATTATGAGGAAGACTTAGTTTTAGAAAAAAGGTTTGGAATCCATCTTAGAGCAGGAAGCGGGGTGAAGACCAGCCCAACAGGAGGTAATAAATGGCTCTTGGAGGGTTCATCGAGCTCTGGCAGAACAGGGGGATATACAGGAGCATTCAAATCAGAAGGAAAAATTGTTGAGAAGGAGAAAGAGTCAACGATTGAATCAGCCCTAAGTTTTACACAAGGAGGGGAGGAGCCAAAAGAAGAGGTCTCTAAGAGAAGGAAGATTTGGGAGACTCAGACAGAGGAGCAAGAGGAGGACACTATGGCTTTGGATGGGACAAAAAACGGGGAGGAGGCGGGCTTTGCTCTTTAAGCCCGTCGAAGCCGCTGACAGAGGAGTGGAGGTCGCATGTCGAGGGATTGTTCGAGTTTTCTGGTTGCGACGGAAGTGTTTTTTCTTTTGTTTTATTTGCTGTTTCAGTAATTGTTATTTCTGTTTTGGTGTTTGTTTTTTCTTTTATGTTCCTATTTGTAAGACGTTGATTTTGGATGTGGGGGCCGGGGGGTGAGAGGACTATGGTGACCGTTTTCGGCTTTAGATTTTCCATTTATGGATCTGCGAATTATATTGCTTCTTTGGAGGTGATTAATTCCGAGTCTAGTTCGCGGGATAACGGTTGTCAGATTTCTTTTTGTCATTTGACCCATACTCTGAATTATCTGTTATCGATCTGAGTTGAATTCTTCCAAAAAAAAGCTAATAACACATTGTACGGAGTATATATTTAAAATAAATATATTCTAATAAGTTTTAATTTTAACACATTGTAAATTTTTATTATTAAAATTGAATTAATTATCGATAGGGAGGATTTAACTTTATTATTGGCTGACAAAAAATGTTGATTTTACAAAATAATATGGGACGAAGGTAGTATTAAATATGTTAATGGTCAACATCTCATTAGAAAACATGATGAAAAGGCAAACTGTTACGACTATAAGAACAAAGACAGTACTCCGTATTTGGTTTATACGGAGTAATATATTGTTTATGTATAGTCACTCACAAAACTTGTTTCTTATTTTGTTTTAGGCAGTGGCGGAGCTAGGATTATGATCCAGAGGGGCCCGATGTTTAAGGGAATTGTTTTGTGGGCAAGATCTTAATATGTTAATATTACTTCCGTTCCAAAATACTTAGTCATCTTTAAAATTTTGACCAACTATATATAATTATCGGAAATTATTTATAATATAGAAATGATACGAAAATAGTCTTTGTCAAAAGCACTTTTATAAATGTATAAATTTATAACTTTCATAATATTATACTGATCAAAATCATTGTCAAAATTTTAAGACTTGGCTAAGTATTTTGGGACGAAAGTGATATATTCCCCCCATCTTATGCATAGAATTTTATTCATGTCCGGAATTCCGGACAGGAACCGCCGTCCGGACGGTGGCGTTTGGCCACCTTCCCGGTGATATTTTTTGATGAAATTTTTATGGCATGTTCTCCATCAAGTCTAGTTTATCCACAAAAAAATTCAGCCAAAAACTCAATCGGGAAGGTCGTCAAATGATTTTTTCAAGTTAACTCGTCCGGAATATGTATTTTCCGGACCAGTTAACTTGCAAAAATCATTTGACGACCTTCCCGAATGAGTTTTTGGCTGAATTTTTTTGTGGATAAACTAGACTTGATAAAGAACATGTCATAAAAATTTCATCGAAAAATTACACCCGGAAGGCGGCCAAACGCCGCCGTCCGGACGGCGGTTCCGGTCAGGAATTCCTGACCGGAAGAGTGCTCCTTATGCATATATGTACACACACATATATGTGTATGTGATGAGTAAATTTATCTTGTCTTTGAACACACCTCAATACACACACATGTGTGTGTACTTGAAAATATATTAGGAGATCAAGACCCCTCCGGCTCCTACTCTACCCATGGCGGGTGCCAAGTTTCAATTTTGAAATATGACTTTGATAATTGTTACAGTCCTATTTGTATACATTCTTATATTCACTAATGTGAAGTTTTTTTTGTTTGTTTGTGAATCCCGTTCACAGACAAAATATGTATTATTATTTTTGTGAACGAGATTCACAAACAAAAAAAATCTTAAGTACAGAGTAGTTATTTTTAGGGTAAATTTAGATAATTAATTTGATATAATTATACGGAGAGATAAAATGAGACAATTTTTTTATACGGAGGGAGTATGGCTTAGTATTGTGATTTTTTGTATTTGAACCTGTTTGTAAAACAACTTTTTATCAAATAAATGGTTTTTTCAGTTTAAAAAAATCAAATAAATGTTTTTTGTGCGTACTTTCGAGTAAAGTAATATATAGGGGTGAGCGTGGGACGGGACGGTTATTTCAAAAAACCTATCCCGTTCCAAAGTACGGTTCTTTTTAAAATCAAGAACCGATACCGTCCCGCATATATGTAAAACATGTCCCGTTCCGTACCAATTTTCGGTCCGGTTCTTAAATAACTAAATAACCCCCATGAAATATAAAAACTTTAGATTTTAACATTTATAAATAACTCTACAAAAATTGAAGAGAAGAACTTGCAAGATTATATTAGCCTTGTAGGTGAGCCGAATTGAGGAGGAACACCAAAGGCGATTAGTTCTGCCATTCCTCACTTTTGGACTTTTTGGTCTGCTAGAGGATATGTTGCCGAATGAATTAGGTTTAAGAGTTTTTGTTCTATTTACGTAGCATTATTTATACTCCGAATCATTTAGTGTTTTTGTTTTAATAATTGGATTGGGCCCAAAGAAGATGTAAGAGTAATATACGGACAATTATACTCGGTATATAATATATTATATTATATATAAAAATTATTGTTATATTATAACACTAGTTTTCGGGATAATTCGGGACGGTTCGGTTCGGTGTGGTTCTGGGATGGTTCTACCGTACCATATTATTAAAAAAACTCGATACAATATGGTACGGTATTATACTTTCCCGGTTCTATCGGTTCTGGGGGGTTCAAGACTGTTCTTCTAAGGAACTGGAATTCCCCTATCCGCCCTTATATCCAGTAGCAAATTTCCTTGCCTTCGACAAATACGGTATTCCACCAACTGTGTCTCTGACTCTTCACAGTTTCAGCCTCAATGCCGTCCGCGAAACCCTTCGCGACAGTCGCAGGGATGCTGAAAGCCAGATCGAGCTCCGCCCTCCGAACTCGAGGAGGTCACGGCCCGAACCCATTCCTTACTCCCGGCCACCAGGAGCGGCCCAACGGCTACCTCTTCAACCGTACGCCCCCGCCGCCGGGGCAATCCCGAAAGTGGGAGGACTGGGAGCTCCCTTGCTACATCACCAGCTTTCTCACCATTGTCATCCTCGGTGTGGGCCTCAACGCCAAACCCGATCTCACTATTGAGACATGGGCTCATCAGGAAGCCATCAAAAGGCTCGAGCTCGAGTCCTCTTCACAATCCGACTGATTGTTTGATCGGTCAATCTGGGTATGCTTTTGTTACGCCCTCTTCTGGAATTTGTCAAATTAGGGTTTGGGAAGAGAAGATCACAGCCTGAGAAGTTTTCTGTTTATATTTCCTGATGCAATTTGGTGGAAAATAATTGGTAATGTTCATTAACTCGTGATTTGAATGGTCAATTTAGACTCCGTTATAAAATAACTTCAGTTTACAGCTGTATTTGACACGGTAATCGTGCGCTTCAATGAAGATGCATTTTCCTCAATATATATATGATAGCATGGTTTCAACATATATCTAGGTTGGTTCTTATGATTCTACATCTACTAGAAGTTCCATTGAAGTCTTAACCTTGAAATGATTGTTAGTCCAATATCATCTATCATACTTTGTGCAAATCACTTCTACTTTCACTATAAGTATAGTTGTGGATCTGTAGAACAAGTTGTGTTGAAACTGTTTCCTTTTCACTGGGCCTGAGCTGATATGGGCAGGTTTCCTTACCCCTTCAAAACAATCAAAGAAAAACTGCAAAACGGTATCCATGACTGAAGAGCTTTTTAAAAAATACTATATACGTAGTACTAATTATGCAGAGTAGTTAAGTGACATGAATCACAAGAATATGCATGAAGCTTCATTCAGTTCCATCATTGCATTCTCTTAACTTGAAATATGTATGTGGTGTCATGCTCGTCTGAACATTAAATATATTGAAAGCCCAACATGTTCTTACTTTACTATAACCAAACCAAACATACCTAGTTTGTCACTTTCAAACATAGGCTGTGAATGTGAAAAGTATGAGTTTGCTATGATTATTTGTTAATTCTTTTCAACATTTTTTTGATGTGGGGGTGTTCAATTTTTTGCACCAACTTTGTGACAATCTTTATTTTTTTACTGTTTTTCCTGATCCGATTGATTTGTTAATATAAATGGGCAATCTAGGCTAACTCCAATCCTGCCCAAGGTTGTGTGCTTAGATCACTTTTAGATCTGTAAATGAATGGTGATAAATCTGAAGGCCTATATGCACATAGATATCGTCTTACAATTTTATTATAGCATTTCTCACACATTTTGAGCTTCATCATTCAAAGTGTTTGATGATATAACCAGTGATGTTAATCGCGCTGCTATCGCACGCTATAGCGGAAGTGCGGAGCGGATGACCAGGTTGGCACTACCAGACGACATGTAGCGTCGCGTTTGGGTGTAGCGGACTTAGCGGGCGCTATAGCGCTGGTGCGGAGAAGATAGTGGCGGCCACTATAGCGGCGAGTTTTTAGCGCACGGTTTATGGGCTAAATTTGTGCGTAAAAATTTTTTAGCGCAGGGTTTTTGGGCTAATTTTTTGCGTTAAAATTTTTAGCGCAGGTTTTCTGAGTTTAGCGCAGAGGGTTTTTGGAGTTATTGGGTTTTTAAAGTTAAAATTTTTGAGTTAAATTTTTTAGGGCAGAGGTAGAAGGGGTAAACTAGACTTTTAAAACAAAATATTAACCGATTTAAAACGGCTCCAGCTCTTGACAATACCCTGTTTCTGGTCTGCGATGGCTTCTTCTCCAAGAACGAAACATGCTGCCCTCCTCTTCCTTCACCCTTCTTAGTAGTATCTTCTGCTGCAACATCTTCTTCTCCAACCTTTGCTGCAGACCTGCAGTGAGTCTTCTTTTCTTCTTCTTGTATGGAATCTAGTCAATCTACTGTCATGTTTAAGCCCAGGAGAATGATGCAAACGATGATATAGAGTTGGAAGAAGAAGAAGAATTTGATGAGGAGTGGTGAATGATGAATTCAAAGGGCTCTCAAGTTGGATCTATTTTTTTTTACTATTAAGGCTTATACCCTTAAACTAGAACCTTGTTTTTTATTCAAAGTTTTGACTTAAAATGTTTTAATCATTAATAACATCTTATGTCTTGCTCATAAAACTAAAGAGTATTTTAAGTAATTTAGGATTTATGAATGTTAAGATGTTTGAAGTCAATATGTGTCTGTAATGTATTATATGCTTCTAGTAGTTACTTATCTATTATAGTTGAAAGTAGCCTAAATAGCGGTCATCCCACTATCCGCTATACTGCTATAGCGTTTTGGGGGCTGGCCGCTCCGCTCCGCTATCTGGGATTGACAACACTGGATATAACAACCCCCACTCTTTCCTCTCTTGTTTCATCTAGCCTTTAAAGACTTGGCAAGATCTAAGTTATTTCAAAGTTGTATCAATTATGGGGTATTTGGAAATACATGCTTGTACTTCTCATTCTATGGATTAGATGATC